CCCCCCCCCCCCCCGTTAATCATTAGGTTCGTTCGAGATGAGCCAGTCCTGCGCAGATTCGATCACCGGCGAACGGCGCACAATGCATGCCGGTTAGTTTTGTGTCCGACTTCATCCCGACTTGCTCTGACGTATTACAAAAGTGGACGGCCGCAGTTTTTTAGAGCCAGACACTGCAGTTGCTCTCCACCGACTGGCTCTCACCTGTTCTAACAGATCATTGGTTTAGATGTCGACTCAACAAGATGACGTTTTAGATAAACTACTCATTTTTGTTGTATTTTAGAGGGTGCTACTGCTAGCTCCTCGCTTTAACCGGATGTCATTCGAGGTCTGCCATCTTCTAGGCCGTCCCAAGTCTCTTATAGAGTGCCGAAGTCACGCCCCTTCCGGTGAAGCTCATGGGACCTTAAATCGAAAAAATATGAATGGCAGTGAATGAGGAGAGAAATATTATCTTTTGGTCCCGTTTGAGTTGTGACATGAAATCCAAATATGTTGTTAATGAATTTAAAACATAAATTTTAAGGCCAAGAAAGTCATACTTTGTGGTAAAACTGTTGAGATATAAGCTTTTGAAAAAACGTAATTAGAAAGACTACACAGGAGGCGGTCGCTTATGTGACGTCATAGTTTTCGTTCACTTCCAGCAACTTGGAGTGACTGCAACCTGGCACAAAACGCACAGACATCTTCAATCATAAATCGATTAATCATAAAACAATGGAATTTCAGCGGGGAGGCCAAGCTGCAGGAAGCGAGCGAAAGCTATGACGTCACATATGCGACCTCCTCTGTGTACTCTTGAGCCTTTCTAATTAAAAAGCTTATATCTCAACAGTTTTACCACAAAGTATGACTTTCTTGACCTTAAAATGTATGTTTTAAATTCATTAACAACATATTTAGAATTCATGTCACAACTCAAATGGGAACAAAAGATAATATTGTTCTCCCCATTCACTGCCATTCATATTTTTTCCGATCTAAGGTCCCATGTGCTCTACCGGAAGGGGCGTGACTTCGGCACTCTATTTATGCAGCGAGAAGCTAGCGCTAGGAGCTAGCAGCAAGCTTTAAGCAGCTACGAGCTAGGATCAAGGCTATTCAAGAGAAGGCTGAGACACGGGGTCAAACATGGGGGGATTGCACATGCGCAGTAACATCTGGTCTGCAGTTATTCACTGTCCCCCTCCAGAATCGCAGCTCAAGTTACACTGCGCATGTGCAATCCCCCCATGTTTGACCCCGTGTCTCAGCCTTCTCTTGAATAGCCTTGGCTAGGGGTGCGTCCCAAGTCTCTTATTTTTATAGTGCTACTGCTAGCTCCTCACTTGAACCGGAAGTCGTTCGAAGTCCGCCATCTTCTAGGCCATCCCTTATTTCTCTTATTTGTGCAGCGAGGAGCTAGCGCTAGGAGCTAGCAGCAAGCTTTAAGCAGCTACGAGCTAGGATGGTCGAGAGGTTCCTAAGAGGAAGTCTTTTTCAGCTTGAGGATCTGACATATAAATACCCGCCCTCTACATCTGGCTCATTTGAACGAGATGGCGGAGAAACAGCACAAGTGTACCCGTGCATTCTTTGCAATGAAACGCTGTCATTCACATGCCTACGTGACTACGTAGTAACGTTAATGATATTTCGTGCAAGACTGTCATGTTGAAATTAAGTTTATTTCATTCACAACCTGTTGTGCTGTTCAACAGACTGTCGGTGATGTGTGGCTGTTAAATGTGCAGCTCNTGCCTACGTGACTACGTAGTAACGTTAATGATATTTCGTGCAAGACTGTCATGTTGAAATTAAGTTTATTTCATTCACAACCTGTTGTGCTGTTCAACAGACTGTCGGTGATGTGTGGCTGTTAAATGTGCAGCTCATGCCCAGAACTACACATGTTGATATAACACCAGGCGCACACACACACGAACACACACACACACACACACACACACACACACACACACACACATTTGCCCATCATTAATTGTCCTGCATGTCATGTGAGTGGAATAATGTTTAATAGCCTGTAGGTAATACTAATTATTAATATTAATTAATATTATTACTTTCATTAATGCTGTTGTAAGCTACTGTCATTACCGTCTGTCCTGCATCTCTCTCTGTCTCTCTCTCTGTGTCTCTCTTTCTGTCTCATTGTGTCATATGGATTACTGTTAATTTATTATGTCGATCTGTTCTGTACAACATCTATTGCACGTCTGTCCGTCCTGGGAGAGGGATCCCTCCTCGTGCTCTTCCTGAGGTTTCTACCATTTTTTCCCCGTTAAAGGGTTTTTTGGGGAGATTTTCCTTATCCGCTGTGAGGGTCCTAAGGACAGAGGGATGTTGTATGCTGTAAAGCCCTGTGAGGCTCTCCTTAAATTACTGCTAGTTAGCTTACCTAGCTGACTTTGCTAGCTGTTTAGCCCCTCCCACCTAGGAAAAAATGTGAGGAGCTAGTGCTAGGAGTGATGAGCGAGCATTGTCGGTTTAAGAGACATGAGGCGTCCTTTCCACTGTAGCGTCACGTGAAGCGACGTCCATTCCTGATGACGGCGGCACAGCTGGATCTGCTGCATAACGGAGCCAGTGTTTGCCATACATCCCAAGTCACATTATATTCGCTGACCAAAGCCGTAACCCCCACCCCCCAATTCAATTTTATTTATAAAGCCCAATATCACAAATCACAGTTTGCCTCACAGGGCTTTACAGCATACGACATCCCTCTGTCCTTTGGACCCTCACAGCGGATAAGGAAAAACCCCTTTAACGGGGAAAAAACAGTAGAAACCTCAGGAAGAGCAACTGAGGAGGGATCCCTCTTCCAGGACGGACAGACGTGCAATAGATGTCGTACAGAACAGATCAACATAATAAATTAACAGTAATCCATATGACACAATGAGACAGAAAGAGAGACACAGAGAGAGAGACTGAGATGCAGGACAGACGGTAATGACAGTAGCTTACAACAACATGAAAGTAATAATATTAATTAATATTAATATTAATATTAATAGGCTAATTAATATTACCTACAAGCTATTAAACATTATTCCACTCACATGACATGCAGGACAATTAATGAGGGGCAAATGTGTGTGTGTGTGTGTGTGTGTGTATGTGTGTGTGTGTGTGTGTGTGTGTGTATGTGTGTGTGTGGTGTTATATCAACACGTGTGGTTCTGGACATGAGCAGCTGCACATTTAACAGCCACACATCACCGACAACGCAACGGGTTGTGAATGAAATAAACTTAATTTCAACATGACAGTCTTGCATGAAATATTGTCAACGTTACTCTTTATAGTCACGTAGGCATGTGAATGACAGCGTTTCATTGCAAAGAATGCATGTAACGGGTACACTTGCGCTGTTTCTCCACCATCTCGTTCAAATGAGCCAGATGTAGAAGGCGGGTATTTATACGTCATGGCCTCAAGCTGAAAAAGACTTCCTCTTAGGAACCTCTCGACCATCCTAGCTCGTAGCTGCTTAAAGCTTGCTGCTAGCTCCTAGCGCTAGCTCCTCGCTGCACAAATAAGAGACTTGGGATGGCCTAGAAGATGGCGGACCTCGGACGACTTCCGGTTCAAGCGAGGAGCTAGTGTGTGTGAGGGCTGTCCCATTGTCAAATCGTCAAGTCAGTGAGTCAGTGAGTGAGCCCTTTATGTCCCCTTACCGTAGATTAGCATCGATGCGGACTTACGGTTAGGAAATTACCCACAGTTCATGGCGTTGTGATGTCAAATACAGGGATTGCCCTCGGAACACCGGAAGTGTTATAAAAAAAACCCCGAAAACACGGTCGGCAAATATGCAAACGGTAACGTTATGGAAGGAGAACAGATAGACAAACAATGAAACGTTACATTAACAAGGATTTAAGATGGTACATAAACACACACTATCTATCTATCTTTCTATCTATCTATCTATATAGATATTCTTTGTGTGTGGAATATATGCTGACAATAACCAATAAATGATCACGCCCAGAGCCACCAGTGTCAACAACATTTTGTAGAGAGGGGGATAAGTGCTGTCCCATTCCTATTTGTAGCATCCAGAGCCCTTTCAGACTCTCACACTCAATCACTTACAGCTGACGTCAGTTAAGTCAGTGAGGGTTCAGGGCTTGAGTCTTCAGGGGCCAGATTGGAATTGGGCCTATAAAATAAGAGACTTGGGACACACCCTTAGCTTTCACTCTCACCTGCTCAAGCGTGCCTGTGGTGTGCAGCAGTGAAATGGGTCCCCGCTGAAACACTTTCCCGCCACGCACATTCCGGATGTTGTTTGGGCTATTCACCAGTATTGCGGTAGGCCTATATGAAAAATTCATATCATAACGAAAATAAATACCGGTTTTCGGTACAAACCGGTATACCACCCAGCCCACTGTCACCCAAATATTTTGACCATTCATAATAAAATAACAGCACTGTAAAATACAAATTAACATTATACCAATACAACTTTTGTTATACATGGAGTGGTCATGATGTTGTGGCAGTTCAACTTAGGACCCAAAATGCAAACACAACCAGGAAACGGGCGATGGTTAAAGGCAGTTTATTGGAAGAAGTGGAGCTGAAGGCTTGAATGAAATGATGGCTGAGGTGAGCAGGGAATGGTGAAGGCTGGCATGGTGAACCTGAGACACAGAACAGAGTGTCAATTGATGTCCAAAAGTACAAAGTGTCAAAAAACTAAAAATTGGCCTTGATAGCTACCACTGAGAAGATGGAACCATCTGCCGGAGTCTGGATGTTTGAGCCGGGGTTTTATTCTGCAGTGGCTTGATTGCAGATGTGGTTCAGGTGTACAGGTTCAGCAGCTGCTGGCAGGAGGAGGGAACCAGGAGGCCATGGCCAGCAAACACACAGAGACAGACTTTAAAACAAACATGAGACACTAAGAAGGGCAAACAGGCAACACAAGGGAGAGGCAAAGCTGAAACCCTAATACATGATTAATAGTTAATGTGTAAAACAATATTCCTTCACTTTCCTGATTTCTTATTATTTAATTTTCTTTACCTATTTTTAATGTTAAGTTCATCCATTCAATTTTATTCTTCTTGAAGTGACAGAAGTTCAGAGTCCTGAAACAACTGCTGCTATTAAAGAGGTGAAAAGTAAAAAGCAAAACCAATATGGCCTGTACTGTACAATATTTCACTGATGTTGGGTTCCATGGTTCGAGCAAAACTAGGAAAATAGCTAATCACCAGGGGGAATTTAAGTCAGTTATAGAGGGTCAAGAAAATAGCACTCCTGGTCAATATGATTGCTTCTCCAATTCTCACTAAAATCTTATTTGTGTTGCTTTTTAACCAGATGTTGTGCTTACTCGCTTGTGTGTGACCGTTGTACTAGCCTGCTTGTGTTTATTGTCATACTGACATTTTTGCTGCTGACTTGGTCAATTTGACCTTGAAAATGAGATTCTAAATCTCAGTGAGACTTTAACCTGGTTAAATGAAGTACAGTACAGGCCAAAAGTTTGGACACACCTTCTCATTCAATGCGTTTTCTTTATTTTCATGACTATTTACATTGTAGATTCTCACTGAAGGCATCAAAACTATGAATGAACACATGTGGAGTTATGTACTTAACAAAAAAAGGTGAAATAACTGAAAACATGTTTTATATTCTAGTTTCTTCAAAATAGCCACCCTTTGCTCTGATTACTGCTTTGCACACTCTTGGCATTCTCTCGATGAGCTTCAAGAGGTAGTCACCTGAAATGGTTTTCCAACAGTCTTGAAGGAGTTCCCAGAGGTGTTTAGCACTTGTTGGCCCCTTTGCCTTCACTCTGCGGTCCAGCTCACCCCAAACCATCTAGATTGGGTTCAGGTCCGGTGACTGTGGAGGCCAGGTCATCTGCCGCAGCACTCCATCACTCTCCTTCTTGGTCAAATAGCCCTTACACAGCCTGGAGGTGTGTTTGGGGTCATTGTCCTGTTGAAAAATAAATGATCGTCCAACTAAATGCAAACCGGATGGGATGGCATGTCGCTGCAGGATGCTGTGGTAGCCATGCTGGTTCAGTGTGCCTTCAATTTTGAATAAATCCCCAACAGTGTCACCAGCAAAACACCCCCACACCATCACACCTCCTCCTCCATGCTTCACAGTGGGAACCAGGCATGTGGAATCCATCCGTTCACCTTTTCTGCGTCTCACAAAGACACGGCGGTTGGAACCAAAGATCTCAAATTTGGACTCATCAGACCAAAGCACAGATTTCCACTGGTCTAATGTCCATTCCTTGTGTTTCTTGGCCCAAACAAATCTCTTCTGCTTGTTGCCTCTCCTTAGCAGTGGTTTCCTAGCAGCTATTTGACCATGAAGGCCTGATTGGCGCAGTCTCCTCTTAACAGTTGTTCTAGAGATGGGTCTGCTGCTAGAACTCTGTGTGGCATTCATCTGGTCTCTGATCTGAGCTGCTGTTAACTTGCGATTTCTGAGGCTGGTGACTCAGATGAACTTATCCTCAGAAGCAGAGGTGACTCTTGGTCTTCCTTTCCTGGGTCGGTCCTCATGTGTGCCAGTTTCGTTGTAGCGCTTGATGGTTTTTGCGACTCCACTTGGGGACACATTTAAAGTTTTTGCAATTTTCTGGACTGACTGACCTTCATTTCTTAAAGTAATGATGGCCACTCGTTTTTCTTTAGTTAGCTGATTGGTTCTTGCCATAATATGAATTTTAACAGTTGTCCAATAGGGCTGTCGGCTGTGTATTAACCTGACTTCTGCACAACACAACTGATGGTCCCAACCCCATTGATAAAGCAAGAAATTCCACTAATTAACCCTGATAAGGCACACCTGTGAAGTGGAAACCCTTTCAGGTGACTACCTCTTGAAGCTCATCGAGAGAATGCCAAGAGTGTGCAAAGCAGTAATCAGAGCAAAGGGTGGCTATTTTGAAGAAACTAGAATATAAAACATGTTTTCTGTTATTTCACCTTTTTTTGTTAAGTACATAACTCCACATGTGTTCATTCATAGTTTTGATGCCTTCAGTGAGAATCTACAATGTAAATAGTCATGAAAATAAAGAAAACGCACTGAATGAGAAGGTGTGTCCAAACTTTTGGCCTGTACTGTACATATTTCCCATCAGGTCTAGCTCTTAGCAATGGGAACACATGGAAGCAGCAGAGGCATTTTGCACTGTTGACCCTCAAACATTTTGGTTTTGGCAAGAAGTCACTTGAGCCTGTCATCTTGGATGAATTTGCATACTGTGCAAGATACCTCATCAGCTATAAAGGTAAAAAGTGAACGTACAGTATTAAAAATGATATACAATCACAAAGACACATTTTACATTTCCTGTTTCATAGTGGAGGTAAACCATTTAATCCACACACCATCCTCAACAATGCTGTCTCCAGCATCATCTGCTCCGTGGTTTTTGGTCATCGCTTTGAGCACAGTGATGAGAAGTTCATCAAACTGATGAAGTTGTTTAACAAAGGTCTTGAAATTGAAGTCTCCATTTGGGCACAGGTACAACATTTGAAAGCTATTGATAAAGACCAAATGCTGCAATCCTCATTATGAAACACTTCTCTAATAATTAATGCCACTGGCTCTATTTGGGCACAGTTATGTAAAACCTAAGATGCATGAGAGCCACCGTCTAAATACTTTTGAATATTTGGCAGTGACTGTCAAAATAGAAAATCTTTCATGCTTTGTCAATAAGTAATTGTTGCAATCTGCTGTCCTCTGCAGCTTTACAACTCATTCCCTCGACTGATGAGACGTTTGCCAGGGCCACATCAGACAATCCAGAACATCAGCAACAATGTAAAGGACTTCATAAGAGAAGAGCTTAAGCAGCACAGACAGAAGTGGGATCCCTCAGACCAAAGAGACTTCATCGACTGCTACCTGAATGAGATGGTGTGTGTTGAAAAGTAGAAAGAACTGATGTGCACTTTTGCCATGGCCTCTGCCTCACAGCACGTTGGGCCTTATCTTATCTTTTTATTTAAGATACAAGGTCCAACACAGATGACATGCTTTTTACTTTTGTTTGTTAAGTTACCATTGTAAATGATTACGATGATGCAGATACACTGTTGTTCTAAATTATTTTGCAGCATTTTTACCACATGTATTTGTATATACTTTCAGAATAAGGGGCAGGCTGACAGTACTTTTGATGAGGAAGACCTGGTTATGTCTGTCATTGATCTGTTTGTGGCTGGCACAGAGACCACATCCACCACTCTCCGCTGGGCTTTCCTCTACATGACAAAGTACCCTGAGATCCAGGGTAAGATCACTGACCAAGCCAACAAAGTTCTTTGCTCTTACTCAGTAATGTGTAAATGGGTGACGCCAGAGCAAGTTTTTCCTGTGATCATTTTATAGATGTAAAAAGTACATGTAGATACATCACATAACAACTTTTACTTCACTAATGTGGCAGCACTTCATTGTACTTGATCTCTCCATGTGTCTTTTGCAGCCTGGTGATAAAATACTGTGTCTACTACTGTCTGTTCTCCTGTTGCACAGCAAAGGTTCAGGCTGAGATAGACAGAGTCATTGGACAGTCCAGACAGGTGTCCATGGAAGATTGTCCACACCTGCCCTACACTGTAGCTGTACTCCATGAGGTCCAGAGGATGGGCAACATAGTTCCTCTTAGCGTGCCTCATGTTACCACCAGGGACATCCAGCTGGGAGGATACACAATCCCAAAGGTTGGTTCTCCTATGCAATTTTTATGGCACATCCACTACCATGTTAAGTCTTGAGTTATGATTACGATTCCAACCACCAGGGACTCATAATAATCCCCAATCTGACCTCGGTGCTGTTCAACAAGAATGAATGGAAGACGCCCAACACCTTCAACCCAGGACATTTTCTGAACGAAGAGGGCAAGTTTGTGAAGTCAGCTGCTTTCATCCCTTTCTCTGCTGGTGAGGAGCAACACAATGTCTTGTCTTATTAGTATCTTTACCTGTTTAGACAGGAGCCTGGAGCCTGTCCCAGCATACACTGCCACTCATGGTATTGCTAACACAATGATTGCAGATTGGTCCAAAGGAAGCTCTCATGAGCAAGGCAAAAATAACATATGTCCTTTATTGTCTTGAATACCAGTCACTGATCACTGCAGTGCCATCCCAGCAATACTGGACTTTTGCCCTACAGTGGGCACCAGCAGAGCCGAACATTGGCAATGTTTGACTAATGATTTTGGTGAACTTCTGACCTTTATGTACAGTAGACCTAAAATCAGGACAAAGTTGATAATGGTTAACCAAACACTTGGCAGTTCTACTTCCTATAAATACCTTACAGTATGAGTATATGACTACTACTGTTGTCTTAAACTAGTTTGAACTCTGGGCCAAAACTGTGGCAAAGACATTTTCACTTTATTTTTGTTTGTTTTTCTGTCTCAGGTAAGCGGGTGTGTCTCGGAGAGAACCTGGCTAAGATGGAGCTTTTCCTCTTGTTCACCTCCTTCATGCAGCACTTCACCTTCTCCATGCCTGCTGGGGTGAAGCCTGTGATGGACTATTGCATTGGCATGACTTTAGCACCACATCCATATGAAATCTGCGTAACCTCATGCGAGAGGTTGCAAGAGAAGCTCTGACATAATAAATACTCAAAAAAGCAATGAGCTCTTGTCATCTTGTTACTGTGGCAGGGTTTAGTAAAAACAGCAAAGTGATGCTTGGCTTCAATTATAGATCACATTCGTTTTAGTACTGTATTCAAACTCCTTTACAAAAGTTAAAGTACTTCTCAATGACCCCTGTGACTTACATGCTTATACACATTACATTAAAAAATTAAAACTAATGATTCAATGCAAATTTGGCATTTTGTAGCTGCTCAAGGTGGAGCTAGTTTTAAGCACTTAATTGCTTAGGGGATTGGGAGCCAAAGAGTCATACAATCAATCAGGGGGCTTGTTGGAGAAGACAAAAAGCGTGGGAAAGAAGGAAAGCACTCTTTCTACACTCTTGATATTTCTTTTATGAAATTTCTCTTATCGTTTTGGGGTTTAGTTTGAGAAGTTTTGAGGGAAAATCTCTCTTTGGTGGAACTTCTAAGAACGTATATGAAATGTGACAAGAGGCACCAGCTGGACACTGCTTTCTGTAAGGGGCTACAAGCCTTACCACAAAGCCATTTTGAGTATTTGGCAGGTGTTCACATATTCATCTGTCTATTTCCCTGTTTGTCTGTGGACAGATTTTGTCAACACGTCACCTTAACAGGTCTGAACCTGAGCTCCAAATGACGGTCAAGTTTGAAGATGGGAGTGGTCCATGCAAGGGTGCTGGAAATAAGGGGTTAGGAGGCAGGGATGGGGCCATTGCCCACCCACTCCTAACTCACATTCATTGAAAGGTTTTTTTAGTTCAACCAAACACTGAATAAGAATCTTTTTAAGCGACTAAAAAGATGCTTTTAAGTTTCATGAGCTAAAACACACTGAAAAAGTGACAGCTACCTTCAACTATGGCTATGCTGTGAATCTCGGGTTACTCTACGCCTATTAGTTATCCAATGTTGTTGCCGTGTTAACGACTTGTCAACAGACAGCACCCATCTGTCACTCAAAACCGCCACACCCTTAATTACCTGTAACTTCAAGCCTTAACAACATTTAAATAAGTGATGGATATAAAAATTCAACCTCTGTACAGTTGTCGTAATTGGGAATATTAGCTATAGAAACCAAAAGTGTTTTTTTTCTTCTTTTTTTTTTAACAAGCTGTAAACATGTTTATTTCTGCTATAAAGCTGTGGGTCTTTGAGATAAGACTGGCTTTTAGAGTCAGCCTCAAGTGGCCATTCGAGGAACTGCAGTTTCTGGCACATCCGCATTAGCTTCGTTTTTTAGCCCTGGAGTTTGCATCCAGAACCACACAGATGCCTTTTTCACCACTGCAACCACATTCCCTCTGCACAACACACTTTACACTAGATGACAGTTGGAATTGAGCTGTTGTCATGGACTGCTCCTCTGTTACCCTCTGTCCCTGTCTCCAGCCCCTGCTTATTCTCCATCATCTTAGTAGTTCCTTTAATTGTCAAGACCTGCCATTTTCCATCCAGCCACCAGATGTCCTAGGAATTTCTCCCTAGCCCCATATCCTCACCTGTTCTTCCTAGTGGTCTGCCCTTCCTTCAACCCTGTGTCCTGGTCATCCTTTTGTCACACCCATTGACCCAGTCCCCAGGCTGTCTGCCAGAAATCTGTCTCTCCACTCCTGCCTCAAGAAGCAACATTTTCCATCCAGCCACCAGATGTCCCAGGACTTTCCTCTTAGCAGAATTTCAGAATTCACCTGCCTGCTGTCCTGCATTTAGGTTCTCCCTGCCTGTGCTGCTTCAGTCAGCTGTAACAGCTGCAGCCTAATGTCAGATGTGTGTTGGACTGCTTCAGGCGAAAGAGAGAGAATCTGTATCAAAAGCCAGGCTTACTATTTACCTCAACTTCCCTAACATTTGAAATACTGTAGACCCCACCATGCCTTTTATAATCACTGCTCTAATCACATCGCATCACATGGGATGATATTCGCTATTGCTACATTAAAATATTTGTTTTTGGGTCACTGATTAATACAATTTAATATCCATTTACCTGGTATAAAGAGGGCAGAGTCCATGAAACCAGTAGGCCTTTATGTTGCCAGGACCAATAACATCGAGTTCTCCCTCACAGGAGAGAGATAGGTGATGTTATTGGCCCCTGGCAAGAGAACACAAGCCTTTTATCGCATAAACGAAGCAAGTTAGCAACAGCCTTCAATTGGACAGACTTAAGCCCTATTTTTCAGGATGGATTCAGTCTTTTCTGTCGTTGGATCCTTTGTTGACTGGAATGTCAGAAGTCTGCTGCTCTTTACTGCAGTTTTCATCCTCACTGCAGATTATATTAAGAACCGTCGGCCGAAAAACTTCCCTCCAGGACCTCGGGCATTTCCTATTGTGGGCAACATATTTACTCTGGATTACAAAAGGGGCCATGAGAGTATGACACAGGTAGATCAACAGATGTCCAAAAATATATTGTAAATGCAGCTGATTGGACTCTGCTGCTTTCCTCATCTCACACATCCACTCACAGTTAGCAGGGAAATATGGAGACGTGTACAGCCTGCGAATGGGCCAAAAGTGGATGGTGGTGTTAAATGGTTTTGAGGTTCTGAAAGAAGCTCTGGTAAATCAGGGAGACAGCCTGGCGGACCGTCCATACCTCCCACTGCAGGAAGACATGTTCCATGGACGAGGTGAGAGGATGTAGCACACACTCACACACACACACACGCACACACACACACACACACACACACAGATGCAAAGCCTGTGGATTCACCTCACTGCTCGTGTGACTCCTGTCATACAGGGCAGCAATGTCTTTTCTAGATTAGAAAACCTCCTTTAGCTGTCTTGTTGGTGTGCTTATTTCACACATAACGACAAATCAGTTTTATATATCTGCTTTTCAGCAGTGACAAAAGTAAAGATTGTCTCCCAAAGATTTTGATCATTGATAATAAAATAACACCACTTTAAAACACTAAATTAAAATCATTATTCATCATTATTATACCAATACAACTTCTGTTGAAAATGAACTATAAATGTTTAATATGTAAGGTGTAAAATAATTTTCCTCTGTTTTCCTGATTTCCCATCAGGTGTAATTTCCAGTAATGGGAACTCATGGAAGCAGCAGAGGCGCTTTGCACTTTCAACCCTCAAATATTTTGGATTTGGCAAGAAGTCACTTGAACCTGTCATCTTGGATGAATTTACATATTGTGCAAAATACCTCATCAGCTATAAATGTAAAAAGTGAACGCACAGTAAGACAATCATAAATCCACAATTTACATCTAATTTCTTGTCTGTGGAGGTAAACCATTTAATCCACACACCATCCTCAACAACGCTGTCTCCAACATCATCTGCTCCCTGGTTTTTGGTCTTCACTTTGAGCACTGTGATGAGAAGTTCATGAAACTGATGAAGAGGTTTAACAAAGGTCTCGAAATTGAAGCCTCCATCTGGGGACAGGTATGGCATTTTAAAGTTACTGATGAAGTCATATTACTGTGTATCATTGTTGTGCAATCCTCATTATGAAAGTTTATAATTAATGCCACTGGCTCCATATGGGTATAGGTGTTTTAAATGTAATTAAGTAATTGTTGCAATCTGCTCTCCTCTGCAGCTTTACAACTCATTCCCTCTGCTGATGAGACATTTGCCAGGGCCGCATCAGACGGTGCAGCACATCTGGAATGATGTAAAGGACTTTGTAAGAGTACAGATTAAGGAGCACAGACAGAAATGGGATCCCTCAGACCAATGAGTGAGTTGCACTTTTGCCATGGCCTCTGCCTCACAGCACTATCTTTCTGGGTCTTATCTTTAACAGCAAACACTCATGTTAATCTATCAAATCAAAATAGCATCATAAATATTTTTCAAGGTCCAAGGTCCAGCATAGATGAAATGCTTTGTTCATCATAATGATTATGATGGTTACATCATGGCTGTTGGCTGTAAAAACATTGACAGGTAGTTGTTCTAAATTATTTTGCAGCATTTTTAAAACATGTATTTATTAATATTTTCAGAGTAAAGAGCAGACTGACAGCACTTTTGAGGAGGAAAACCTGATAATTTGTGTCTTGGATCTGTTTGTGGCTGGCTCTGAGACCACATCCACCACCCTGCGCTGGGCTTTCCTCTACATGGCAAAGTACCCTGAGATCCAGGGTAAATATATCTGTTTACTAACATGGCAGCGCTGTATTGTGCTCCATCTCTCCATGTGTCTTCTGCAAACTGTTGATGAAATAAAGTTTCCCCTTCTGTCTGTTCCTCTCCTGTTGCACAGCAAAGGTCCAGGCTGAGATAGACAGAGTGATTGGACAGTCCAGACAGCCGTCCATGGAGGATCGTGTAAACCTGCCATACACTGATGCTGTACTCCATGAGGTCCAGAGGATGGGCAACATAGTTCCTCTCAGTCTGCCTCATGCTACCAGCAGGGACATCCAGCTGGGAGGATACACAATCCCAAAGGTCAGTTCTCCTACGCAAGTTTTATGGCACATCCACTACCATGTTATGTCTTTATGATGTGTCATTACAATTTAAACCACCAGGGTGTTACAATAATTCCCAATCTGACCTCGGTGCTGTTAGACAAGAAAGAGTGGAAGACGCCCAGCACCTTCAACCCAGGACACTTTCTGAACGAGGAGGGCAAGTTTGTGAAGCGAGCTGCTTTCATCCCTTTCTCTGCTGGTGAGGAGCAAGACATTCACTTGTTTTATGGGTGTTTAGAAATCTGACAGCCATCCTGTGGGCGCTCGTGAGGTTTTATTTGATGATTATGATGTGTAAACAACTGCTGTATTACTTTATTTAAGTGGTTTACTTATATGAGCTCCTTTGAAAGCTATGCTCCTCACAGTTTGATTGATGCAGATCACTTCAAGATACAGCTCTCCCAGCAGGTTCAATAAATGCCTTTGTCAGACAAAAAGAGAATGACCACTGTTGTTCTAGTTTTAACTCTGGACCAAAACTGTGTCAAAGAAATGTTCAGATTGGTTCTGTTTGTTTTTCTGTCGCAGGTAAGCGGGTGTGTCTCGGAGAGAACCTGGCCAGGATGGAGCTTTTCCTCTTCTTCACCTCCTTCATGCAGCACTTCACCTTCTCCATGCCTGCTGGGGTGAAACCTGTGATGGACTATTGCTTTGGCATCACTTTAGCACCATGTCAATATGAAATCTGCGCAACCTCACGCTAAGAGTAGCTCAGATATAATAAATACTCAAAAAGCAATAATCTCTTCTGATTAGGTCTCAGGGTTTAGTGAATATATGAAACTAATATTTGGCTTTAATTATAAATAGTACAGGTTTTTAAGGCTAGTTAAGCTTAGTCTGGCTCAATCATTTATAATTTTTCAAGGTCTTTTTTGTATTTACAGAGGTGACACAAGTCACTTTTTCTTTCTGTTGATTTTATCATTAAAGTCTGAAATGTGTGATACACCTCAAAACTGTGTTTGTTAAAGGTAAATTTCGGTTTATTTCAACCTGTCTCCTATCGTCCTAAATTTGTTTCAAGTGACTAGTGACATAAAAATAATAGTTAGCATGTTAGCCATTAGCCTAGATACAGCATAGTAGCATCAGACCTGTTAAAACGTAAGTGAACGGGCATCCCTTCAAGTGCAAAGTTAGTCCACTAAACAAGCTTTTTTCCCACAAAGACCACCTCATATCGTTAGGATAAATGTCAGAGAACATATAGAAAATGACATGTAAACGTGTTGTCTTACCTTACCAGTGTGGTGCCATGTTTGTTTACAATTTAGCTCTGCTTTCCAAAGCACGGCCGAAATATCGCAAGAACAAGCAGCGATCTCATACCGTGCCTGAAATCTCTCGAGAACAAGCAGCAACAGCTGGAAGGCAGAACCGGACAGTAGCCTGAGAAGTTCATTCATTTATTTTATGAAAGATTTATAGAATAATAGCTGACTTTTTGCCAGACTTCGACTTTGTGGAGGAGGAATTTGATTTTGCAGAGTTTTATGGCCGCCCTTATTTATTTGAGCCAGAATACACTGACGAAGAGCTTCGTGAAATTGAAGAACGGAGGAGGAGAGAGAGAGAGGCACAACAGGTAGAGGACGACAGAGGAGGAATGGCTGCTGCAAGGCTGCGTAGCTCTGGAGATTGGTGGTGTACCTGTGAATGTTGTGCCCCAGTGCCCACAGAAGAGGAATGCCTCTGTTGCAAGGAATGGACCGGTTGCAGCCTTATTTTCAGGCTGTTTTGTCGTCTTTGCTGTGAAATTTACTTTGTTGAAGGGAGATTTTTGAGCTTTGAGAAACAACATAATCAGAAGAGAGCATCTATTTTGTGTGTGTTTGTGTGGTAATATTAACTTTACTACACTTACAAAGTTATCATTTGTATGCTATTGCCCTGAATTTGTTTATAAAACTTTGTTTCCTTGCATGCTATCATGGTAAACAAAGAATCCAACACCTTAAAAAATCTTCAGCGCGTGTATTTGAACTCTGCTCAATAGAATAAAGAGATCATATGTAAACGCTTGTCTAGGCGCAACTCATCTCAGAGTCTCTGCGGCCCATCACTATGATTGATGTCTAGCAAGGTCCAGTGCCAACTACAATACTTCATTGTGGTTCTCCCCAGTGCCACAAGACCATCTCCCCCAGGGGCTGGACACATTTGCTCACGCACCATGGCCAAGACCATTCAGGCAGCAAGGGCAGGGCTCACCACTGCCTGCTACAAGGCAAATGGGTTAAGTTCCAACACTGGTGAAAGAAGGGGATGCTAGCAGTTGGCTCTATTCTTTCCTTTTTGCAGTGTTTGATGGATAACAGGGCGTCACATGCCAACATTAAAGTGTACACAGCAGCCATCTCTTCCTGCCATGAGGCTTTGGGCGACAGGCAGGTCTTTGCCCACCCTCTTGTGAAGCAGCTCTTGCAGGGATCAAGAGACAATACCCGGTGATGTGCACGTCCTCCTCGCAATGGAACCTCCCTGTGGTTTGCTTTTGGTCTTCCAACCCATGAGGAGGACGGGGAGGTTAAATTGCATCTGCTCTGCCCATTTCACGTGTTGTGTTATTTCACGTTATGTTGAGCACACGACCCCCATCAAACACGCTGAACAGCTGTTTGTGTGCTTTGCTGATGTAAGGCTCTATCCAAGAGCGACTTGCAAAATTGCTTTGTGGGTGCATCTACCAAGCCGACAGGCAGGCTGTGGTCCACGTACACTCTACATGTGATGTGGCAGCGTCGATAGCCTTGACGAGTGTCGAGGACATATGTACAGCAGCATTTAGATCTACGTCCTGCCTGTTCATACGGTTCTATCCCTTGAACATGTCGGGCTCCTTTTCAGGGTCTGTGCTCACTGGAGTGACACAGGCTTGGTGAACAGGGATGGGCGTATGTCAGCTGTCGGCTGTGTTACACTTGACTATGTTCTAGAGTGCTACACCTGTCACAAATGGGATGAGGAGGCAAGGCCATACTCACCACTACATGAACTATCTGAACCCCTGCACATGCTTGTGAGTATTACCTGGAGATTCCAGTGCATGGCTCCATCTGTGTTAAAAGAACTTAGATTACATCATCAGTTCATTCAGGCTGTGGGGGAATCAACACATTAAACATTACTTTTTCACTATATGGGCATTTGAATTTGGCTTTCTAATTGTCTTATATCTGGTAAGATTACACATGATCTATTTTACACCAAACAACAAATTATATTCCCTACTTATAAAAATGATTTAAGGTCACTTATTAACAGCGTTTGTTACTATTTTTCCATGAAAACAGAGGACAGAGTCCAGTGCAACCATTAGGACTTTGCTGTTTCCAAGAGCCAATAACATCCAGCTATTACCTCACAGGAGAGAGATGGTGGATATTATTGGCTCCTGGCAAGGGAACACCAGTGTTATATCTAACAGGAGAAACAAGTAAAAACAGGCTTCAGTTAGGCAGGCTTGAGCCCTTTATTGCAGAATGGATTCAATCATTTCTGTCGCTGGATCCTACATTGACTGGGATGTCAAAAGTCTGCTGCTCTTCACTGCAATTTTCATCCTCACGGCAGATTATATTAGGAGCCGTCGGCCCCACAGCTTCCCTCCAGGACCTCGGGCATTTCCTATTGTGGGCAACATATTCACTGTGGATTACAACAGGGCCCATGAGAGTATGACACAGGTAGATCAATAGATGTCCAAAAAAATATATCATAAATGCAGCTGATAGGACTCATGTTTCTGTTATCTGCTGCTTTTGCACATGCAGTTAGCAGGGAAATATGGAGACGTATACAGCCTGCGAATGGGCCAAGAATGGATGGTGGTGTTAAACGGCTTTGAGGCTGTGAAAGAAGCTCTGGTTAATCAGGGAGACAGCGTGGTGGACCGTCCATACCTCCCTCTGCAGTGGGACGTGGGTCTAGGTGAGAGGACGAGAGACCTGGTTTGTGTTGGTTCTTTTGTTGTTTGCTCTTTTTTAATAAGTGTAAAGGTTATGCTTTACCATTTTCACAAGCATGTTGTAGGGTACATAAGGTACATACACAATGTCACATTGATTAAAATAGAAAATAAAACTCACTGATGAACATGATGAACCAATTTGTTGGTAGGCCTAATGAACCATTTGCACAAATCCTGACCTAGAAATCTTGTCTTTATGACATTAAAAGTGTGTGTTAACATTTGCGCAAATGGCCTTCAACAATAAACATTGCTGTTGTTTACACACTACATAACATTATATTTGGTCATCAATCCACTTGGACTGGGAAGCTCATGTTCAGGCAAGTCGTAAAATTATTATTAAACCTTTCTCTAACACAAAGGGTTGTTTGACATGAAAGGAAGGCATACAAACTTATCAAAATATCTCCCAAATATTTTGAAACGTTTTTAGAACATGGACTGTTATTATTTATATTTTATGTGTAAACTAAGATTCCCTTATTTTCCTAGTTTTGATCTACTTTGATCTATTTCATTTTTGATGTATTTCCCTTCAGGTATAGTGTTCAGCAGTGGGAGCACATGGACACAGCAGAGGCGTTATGCACTTTCAACCCTCAAATATTTTGGATTAGGCAAGAAGTCACTTGAACCTGTCATCTTGGATGAATTTACATATTGTGCAAAAGACCTTATCGGCTATAAAGGTACATACTGAATGCACAGCAACACACAAAACACAAAACACACACAATTTACATCTAATTTTCTGTTTAATTGTGGAGGTAAACCATTTGATCCCCAACACATCATCAACAACGCTGTCTCCAACATCATCTGCTCCCTGGTTTTTGGTCATCGCTTTGAGTACGGTGATGAGAAGTTTGTGAATCTGATTAAGTGGTTTGGCAAAGCTCTCCAGCTTCAAGCCTCCATCTGGGCACAGGTAGCCTACAGCACTTTAAAGTTCTTGATGAAGTCGTAATGCTGTGTACCCTTATTATGCAGTACATTCCAAATTATGAAACAGTTTTATCATTAAAGAGAAATTTCGGTTTATTTCAACCCGTCTCCTATCGTCCCAAATTTGTTTCAAGTCACTAGTGACATAGAAACAATAGTTAGCATGTTAGCCGTTAGCCTAGATACAGCCGTAGTGTCAGACCTGTTAAAACTTAATTGAACGGGCATCCTTTCAAGTGCAAAGTTAGTCCACTAAACAAGCTTTTTCTCCACAAAGACCGCCTCATATCGTTAGGATAAATGTCAGAGAACATATAGAAAACGACATGTAAACGTGTTGTCTTACCTTACTGGTGTGGTGCCATGTTTGTTGTTTACCATTTAGCTAAGGCTGCAACCGGTCCCATTCCTTGCAACAGAGGTATTCCTCTTCTGTGGGCATTGGGGTACAGCATTCACAGGTAACGTTACACCACCAATCTCCAGAGCTAAATCCTTCCAGCAGCCATTCCTCCTCTGTCGTCCTCTAACGTTACCTGTTGTGCCTCTCTCTCTCTCCTCCTCCATTCTTCAATTTCACGAAGCTCTTCGTCAGTGTATTCTGGCTCAAATAAATATGTTCTCTGACATTTATCCTAACGATATGAGGCGGTCTTTGTGGAGAAAAAGCTTGTTTAGTGGACTAACTTTGCACTTGAAAGGATGCCCGTTCAATTAAGTTTTAACAGGTCTGATGCTACGGCTGTATCTAGGCTAACGACTAACATGCTAACTATTGTTTCTATGTCACTAGTGACTTGAAACAAATTTGGGACGATAGGAGACGGGTTGAAATAAACCGAAATTTCCCTTTAATGCCAGTGGCTCTATCTTGGTGTAGTAAAAATTCTTTAACTGAAATGACTGTATCAATAAATTCTTGTTCCAATCTGCTCTCCTCTGCAGCTTCACAACTCATTCCCTCTGCTGATGAGACGTTTGCCAGGGCCACATCAGACAGTCCTGCACATCTGGAACAATGTGAAGGACTTCATAAGAGTACAGATTAAGGAGCACAGACAGAACTGGGATCCCTCAGACCAAAAAGACTTCATTGACTGCTACCTGAATGAGATTGAAATGGTGATTGATGCTTGATCTAGCTTTGGTTTTCTTATACTTTGTTGTTCATGAAGCTGCTCCTATAAACATCATATCTGCGTGTTTTGCACCTACATCAGAACTATCAGCTGTTAATGTGTTGTATTGGCATAACTTTTTATTGTGGCACCATTTCTAGCTGGTTTGTGCTGAGAAGTGCAAAGACCTTCTGTGCACTTTTGCCATAGCCTCCACCTTGCAGCATTATCTTTTTAGACCTTATCTCCAACAGTATTTAATCTAGCAAAACAAAGTCTTTTAAATATTTTTCAAAGTTCAAAGCCACACAAATTAAAAGTTACCATAAATGGATATGACCTTGGCTGTAAAATTAGTTTTTCTAATTCTCAGAATAAGGGGCAGGCTGACAGCACTTTTGATGAGACAATCCTGGTTCATTGTCTCTTGGACTTGTTTGTGGCTGGCTCTGAGACCACAGCCACCACCCTGCGCTGGGCTTTCCTCTACATGGCAAAGTACCCTGAGATCCAGGGTAAGATCACTGACCAAGCCAACACAGCTCTTTGTTCTTACTGAATAATGTGCAAATGGGTGACACCAGAACACATTTATGGGTGGTCATTACATATACGTGAACAAACAAGATCACGTAACAACTTCTGCTGCAATCACCAGTGCCCTGCCCATTTATGGTGACATGGTGACATCACATAGTCACATGCCACATGGACCAGTGGTGGCTCCGTAAGCAGGGTCTCACACAGGAAATGCTTTTACACCTTCAGTTTTAGGTTATATCAGGGGTAGGCAACCTGTGGCTCCGGAGCCACATGTGGCTCTTTAGCCCCTGTCCAGTGGCTCCTTGAGCCTTTGAGAAAAGAATTCATTCTATGAATCCACATGTTGCCAAACCTGGATAGCAGTGGCTGGTTAGCTATGGATGCCAAATCCAAAAAAGTAAATTGAATGAAATAGAGAATGTAGTAGTGCGTGGACAGATTTGTTTGCTCTCACTGCCAGATCTGCAAAATTTAAGTACCAAATAATCATAAATAGTGCCCTGCACAGTGGCCACCTTGTGGTAAAACATATTAACAAATATTAATTTAGACATAATAGGCTATGTTACCTTGATTATAAGGCTGAAACATGTTTTGCAGCTCAACACAGATTTTTTAAAAAAATCAATTTTGGTCAAAAATGGCTCTATTAATGGCAAAGGTTGCAGACCCCTGGGTTATATAAATGAACAAATCATCTCTAAAGTCCAATGGTTACAACAGGTAAAAACTGAGGGCACTAAAGGGTGAGGAAATTTTGTGGAGAGGACCAATGGGCCTACCGACCAACAAAGCGAACTACAGAGATGCAACATTAACAACATTACCACAAGACAATTTACTAACATGGCAGTGCTTCAGCGTGCTTCATCTCTTTTGTAGAGAGCCAGTGAACTACAGTTTCAACCTCTGTCTGTGTTCCTCTCTTGTTGGCACAGCAAAGGTCCAGGCTGAGATAGACAGAGTGATTGGACAGTCCAGACAGCCGTCCATGGAGGATCGTGTAAACCTGCCCTACACTGATGCTGTACTCCATGAGGTCCAGAGGATGGGCAACATAGTTCCTCTCAGCCTGCCTCATGCTACCAACAGGGACATCCAGCTGGGAGGATACACAATCCCAAAGGTCAGTTCTCCTATGCAAATATTATGTCACATCCACTACCACGTTGCATCTTTGTGAATTGTCATGAAAATTCCAACCAACAGGGAGTTATAATAATCCCCAATCTGACCTCGGTGCTGTTTGACAAGAAAGAGTGGAAGACGCCCAACACCTTCAACCCAGGACACTTTCTGAACGAGGAGGGCAAGTTTGTGAAGCGAGCTGCTTTCATCCCTTTCTCTGCTGGTGAGGAGCAACACAATGTCCTGTTTGACCAGTTTAGACAAGAGCAAATTTTATAATAGTTAACAGAGCAGTTCTGCTTCTTATAAAGACCTTACAGTATGAGAATAACTACTGCTGTTGTCTTCAATTCGTTTGAACTCTGGGCCAACACTGTGCCAGAAATATTTTCAGTTTGTTTCTGTCTGTTTTCCTGTCTCAGGTAAGCGGGTGTGTCTCGGAGAGAACCTAGCTAGGATGGAGCTTTTCCTGTTCTTCACCTCCTTCATGCAGCACTTCACCTTCTCCATGCCTGCTGGGGTGAAGCCTGCGATGGACTATTGCTTTGGCATGACTCTGGCACCATGTCCATATGAAATTTGCGCAATCTCACGCTAAGAGTAGCTCTGACATGACAAATACTCACTTTGACAGCGTCAAGTGAATATATCAAACTGATATCTGCCTTCAATTATAGATCACACTGATTTTAAGGCAAATTAAGCTTAGTCTGGCTCAATTGTTTAATTTTTTTTTTAAATAATTTCTCATTTTTTCAAAGTTGACATGAGTCATGTTGTCTCTCCTTGTTGATTTCTGTTTTCTGTGATATACTTCAAAAATGCAATTGATGTTGCAATTTGGATTTCTACCACTCGTCTAAGGGCATGTTGAGGTCAATATCTTAAGAAACATAACTTTTTATTTTATATCATCTATAAGACTCATAAAAGGTATACTATGCAGGGTACTAACGAACAGTGTATAGACTTATACATAGTCTGGGCATCTGAGAAGTTAAATTTCTCTTTGTTGGAACTGCTAACAACTCATTGACATCTGAAATGGTGTCTCAACTAGTCACTGCTTTTTGCAAGCAGCCAAAAGCCCAAAACATTGGTAGCTATTGATTGAATCTAAACCGCTTTATATTTCATAGGCTTATATCTTAATGTGTAAACCAACTACTATTAGAATAAACCATTCAACAGTATGTCGGAGAAGATTCTCAGTCATCCAGGTCATGGTAATCTTAAGTGCTAATATCGTAGGCAACTGGACTTGCTTGCGTTTCTTGAAGACCTTTCACCTCTCATCCAAGAAGCGTATTCAGTTCTAAATGACTGGTACGAAGTTGCAGGCTATAAACCCTGTGTGGGTGAGAATCCTTGCAGTCGTAGGGGTCATGTGAGCTCTTAGTTTCAGAGTCGTTAAGGTCACAATGTGAGTCGTTGACCCACCTGGCCACCATGTGAGTCGCATGCAACTTCGTACCAGTCATTTAGAACTGAAAGAGGTTCTTGGATGAGAGGCGAAACGTTTTCAAGAAATGCAAGCAAGTCCAGTTGTCTACAATATTAGCACTTACAAACATTCAATAGTATCTTAAACAACTACAACTGATAAATGATATTTGCAGTTTAATGCAACAATAATAACAATCCTACAATAAAATACACTAACACCCACAAGGGCCTCTTTTTTGCATTTGTTCCAATCAGAATGTTAACTTGTATTTGAGTATCTTTACATTGCAGTGTTGCTGCTCTTATTTAAAAATGTTATAGGATAGAGGATGTAGAAATGAACTCTCAAAAAAAACAGTCACACCAACCTAATTTGGTTAGATATAATTTCATAGAATTTTGTGTGGTAAAAAAAGGAGGATACAACAATCATGGCCAGATTCAGTTATTTTCACCTTTGGATTTTTGAAATGTTCAATCAATCAATCAATTTTATTTATACAGCCCAGTATCACAAATCACAGTTTGCCTCAGGGGGCTTTACAGCACATCCCTCTGTCCTTAGGACCCTCGCAGCAGATAAGGAAAAATCCCCCCCCCCAAAAAAAAAATCCTTTAACGGGGGAAAAAACGGTAGAAACCTCAGGAAGAGCAACTGAGGAGGGATCCCTCTTCCAGGACGGACAGACGTGCAATAGATGTCATACAGAACATCACTTTTGATGGTAACAGACTCTGGCACTGATACAAAGATTTTTGACTGCTCCTTTGCCACCTAGCTGGGAATTCACAGGGAGCCCTTGGCCAAGTCTATTAAAGCAAATGCCCTTGATAGTCATCTCCAATGCTCAGTCACCCACAGATCGGTCCCCATCTGGATTAGAATGTCAGGTAATCCCAAAGAAAGAATCCCTTTTCACCTGATAAAAGCACCTCATTTGCTTGACATTCAGGGTTATCTTTGACAGGGGTTCCCCCTGAGGATTTGAAGGTGGTTTTCAACAAAGCACAGGACACATCACTGCCCAGGGGCGGACTGGCCATCTGGAGGTTCCTGGAGAATCACAGAACAGCTGGTTCTCCAGGACGGCCAGCGGCCGCCATGCAGTCATCACCATTTTTTTTTTTTTTTTTTTTTTTCCTTTTTCTCCCCGATAATCTACTGTTCCACGTCCAGTCCGCTAGGTGGCAGCCTTTAAATTGGATGCCAGCCGGTCCACAGATATCTATGAGCCAGCCGGCCGCCAATCAAATTGAAGAAGAAGGAAGCGCATACCGTATGCGCACCGGTTGTTGTGGGCTGGGCCGAGTCACAGTCCAGGGCTGTTTTTTAGTCCCAGTCCGCCCCTGTCACTGCCTCTTAAATGCTCGTATGACTGCAGCATCAACCTTCTCCCTGGTTCTCCTCCTCCAAATGGTCAATTCGTTGACCTGTCCACTCCGGAGACCAAGGCCATGGAAAATTACCCAAGTAAGTTTAGCTTCAATTATGCTTTTGTGTATGTAGATGACATTCTCATTTTTTTCAAAGTCTAAGTACCATTCAGCTCAAATAAATCCTACCTCCATTCTGCCACCAGTTCCTTCCCTAACTGTTTTTTTGTGTCAGCTAACTTATGCTCCTAGTTTTTCCACTTGGGGACACTTGGTTGGCCTGTCAAGAGGGCGAATCTGGGAGTAGTTCTGATTGCCCCAAAGTCAGTGTGAAGACAGGCAGAGTTCAGGTATGTGGAGTAGAGGAGGACTGGCCGTAAAGTCACCACCAGAGGGGGCCTTTTCGGCAGTCTTCTCATTGATATTAACAGCTGTACAACACATTTCATGTGCTGGAGCAGTGTTTGCCAGGTACAAACCACACTCTTCAAAAAAATTATGATGGAACGATGGACTTGATGAAAACAGAAATCAATCAGCAGAAGGATGACTGTGACCCCTCTGAGCCCAGGGACCTCATTAACCATCTGTGATTCAGAGGGTGGGTGGACAAACTACAAGTACATGAATCAGAGACTGTTTTGATGAACAATTAAAGTGCCAAACATTTCTCAGTCCCAGCCTCTCACTTTAAACCATTCTCACTTTTCTTTGTCGTATGATAGCAAACGCAACATTGACTTTTGACTGACTGATTGAAGGAAATAAAAGTTGAGGAAAGTCTTAATGCTACAGCATAAAGCATAGCGGTGACAACAGGGTCCGTAAATACCTTGAATGGCCTACACAGAGCCTGGACCTCACCCTTACCAGAGAGAGGACTGAGGATCTCGGTGGCTGTGAAACATTTCTGTATGTAAGACTGAATGAGCTGTTTAAAGCAGATAAAAAGTCTGACAGGTCATTACTATGTTTTAAGAAGATATTGACAAACATATGATTAAAATCAGAAATCACAATTTCATTCTAATAACAGACTGTAAGGAAAAACACTTGGAGGCAGTTGGTGTTGGTATACCTTAGATGTTTGGGCTGTGGTGACATAACACAATGAATATCATTTTTTGGTATCAGGGCATTTGAATTTGGCTGTCCAATTGTCTTATATCTTTTAAGATGACACTTGATCCTGTTCACATCATATAGCATATTATATTGGATACTTTTAAGTAAGAATAGTTGTTATAGGGTCACTGATTAACGTTGTTTGATACCTTTTATCCATTTATTCAATGGGCAAAGTCCAGTGCAACCAACAGGCCTCTGGCTTTTCACCAAGCGCCAAGTACATCAAGTTCTCTTCCCTGATAAACAGATGGGAGATGTGATTGGCTCCTGACAAAAATAGCATCAGCGTTATATCTCACAGCAGAAACAAGTAAAAACAGGCTTCAGTTAGGCAGGTTTGAGCCTTTGTATGCAGAATGGATTCAGTCTTTTCTGTCGTTGGATCCTGTGTTGACTGGGATGTCAAAAGTCTGCTGCTCTTCACTGCAATTTTCATCCTCACTGCAGATTATATTAAGAACCGTCGGCCGGACAGCTTCCCTCCAGGACCTCGGGTATTTCCTATTGTGGGCAACATATTCAATGTGGATTACAACAGGACCCATGAGAGTATGACACAGGTAGATCAACAGATGTCTGAGTTAAAACGTAAATGCGACTGATAGGATGTTTCTGTTATCTGTTACATGAAGCATCTTGTACTTTGTCATCTCACGCATCCACTTACAGTTAGCAGGGAAATATGGAGATGTGTACAGCCTGCGAATGGGCCAGAGGTGGATTGTGGTGTTAAATGGGTTTGAGGTTCTGAAAGAAGCTCTGGTAAATCAGGGAGACAGCGTCGTGGACCGCCCGGACCTCCCGCTAGAGATGGATGTCGGTCATGGACTAGGTAAGAAGACACAAATCACAGAATCACAGCCTGTGTATTAACTCACTGATATTATGAGTCCAGTTATAAAAGAAACAGAGTGAGTGAATACACTATGTGAAAGTTTTTCCCTGAATCAGTTTTGTAGCTACTTTGTGTATGTTCATACTGTTTAATAAGTTCAAAGATTGTGTTTTACCCTTTCACCAACATGAAAATTGGAACCAACCAGTGCCTATGTTGCAATCACTGGACTCCACAGATGATTTGTTCATTTGTGCAACCTTAAATGAAAATGAAAATGCATTCCCTGTAAGCTCAGCCCTCAAAATGGCAGCTGGGTCCTCTTTTGTTCCTCAGACAGAAGACCGCATGGATGTACTCAGTTTCTATATGTGAGACCCTGCCTATAGAGCCATTTTTCAAACATGATTGGTCACTGTTGCATGTGACCTACTACATCAACAACAAAACACAAGAAGCGACTCACTGCTCTTCCCTGGGTACACCCCGTCTCTTATTTGAAATCTCCTTGCTCCTTGATCCTCGCTTTAAACATTTTGAAGGCCGTCCCAATCCACTTTTTTCTGCTCTGAAAACTGAGCAGAGACGAGGGTTCCCTGAGCCACGATGAGCAAGGTCACACAAGAGCAGCCTTCACGACTTCCTTCATGGAAGTCTTTTATCAGCTGATCCTCATTGTTTTGATTGGATGCTGCAGCTGATGGACTGATCTGACAAAACACATCAATATAGCTACCTGAATTTTATACCAGAGTGCAGACAGATAAGAGATTAAACCCCAGTGTATCACTCACAAGTTTTATATCTTATTGGTTTTCTGATGTATCACCATTTGTTTAATATAGAAAGACTTTTCTTTTCACGATCTGTTATTTCTCTCATTAACTTTTATCATGAACACAAAGTCAGAGAGAGAAGGAGAGTCTGCCAGACAGCAAGAAACATGTTTGACATCGTCTTCATTTCCATTCAGTCACACCTCACATCTGATCATTCCTGAGTGTTGGATTTGATGAGTTAGGTTTCAATTTTCCTGGAAACATTTAGCCTGATGAATAATTTCTAATGTTTAAAAGATGCCATCATCATATTCTGGGTTATCGAATGATACATTTACAAACTGAATATCAATAAATACAGATGTGAATAATGAATAAATAATGTAAACACACTCTGTGCCTCTGGGCAGGATACAGTACAGGCATAAATACAGAACACAAGCTGTTATTCATTTGCAAGTGCTTGTTAACTCTATTAGGATGCATATGCAGACACAAACTCCACCAAAAGTCTCGACAGTTTTTATATGATAACTGATGTGTGTAGTTGTCAGGCAGAAAATTTGCATGCAGATTTTCCATATTTCACATCACATTGGTGAGAAACAGCTTGACAGCGTATTGACAAATGTAAATTACAGGCCTGAGGAACCAATTGTTCCTCTTATCTTACTATATAATGACGAAAACTCTGTCTGTGGGTGTGTCTGTTCCATGTTTTTCTCCTCACTGACTTGGTCAGTCCATGTGAAATTTGGCACAGTGGTAGAGGGTCATGGGAGGATGCGAATGAAGCAATATTACATCAATTGGCCAAAGGGGGGCGCTATAGCAACCGATTGAAATTGCAAACTTTGAATGGGCATATCTCATGCCCCGTATGTCGTAGAGACATGAAACTTTGCACAGAGATGCCTCTCCTCATGAGGAACAAATTTGCCTCAAGAACCCATAACTTCCGATTATATAGATTTCCCGCCATTTTGAATTTTTTGAAAAACATTTAAATCGATCTCTTCCTAGGAAGTTTGACAGATCTGCATGAAACTCGGTGAACATAATCTAGGGACCAATATCTAAAGTTCCCTCTTGGCAAAAGTTGGAAAACTTACTAAAACTGAGCTTCTATAAGGCAATGAATATTGCGGAGGGCGTGGCTCATCACATAAAGGTGTGTAACATCTCAAGGGTTTCACCGATCACCACGCAACTTTGTAGGCATATGACCACACATAATCTCAGGGGACCCCTCCATTATTGACCTGATCAAACAAAATGGGGGTGCTAGAGAGCTAATTTCTTATCTAGACCTAACCGCCATATCGATTTTTACTAAACTTGGTAGATATGTAGAACAGGACACCTCAAGGTGACTGGAGAAACTTAACTCTAATTGGCAACTGGGTGGCGCTATAACAACAGAGAAATGGCTAAAATGCGACCGATCGCTCTGGCTGCAATTGTACTATCAAATTCACAAAACCTCTGTCTGAATACATTGCTCTTCTTAATGGGTTCAGTTGACTATTTAATCTGCAATTTCCTATGACCTGTATCCCAAACACACACCATGTGAAACTGTATGTGGGCAACTGTGCACTCAGTGGGTATGGACTAGTTTCTACATAACATTAAAAGTGTTAACATTTGCACAAAGGGCCTTCCATAATTAAGAGCATTGTTGTTTATAGAAAACACTTAGCCAAAGTAATATCTGGCCACTATGTTTGGTCATTGATCCACTTGGACGGGGGAAGACTGATTTAACGGCTAACTGATAAACTTTAATTTACCAAGTTACTGGGAATGCTTAGGTTCATGCAAGGCTGCAAAGTGATTATTAGACATTTATTTAAAATAGGATTGTTTAATACTAAATTAATGCGTACAAAATTGTCAAAACTGTAGTCCAAACACACCTGAAATTGCTTGAAAAGGATCTTGGTTTTCTAGCCCATCTCATAAAAATAGGTGTGATCATGATGTAGCTTACCCAAATGTGCTGGTCTGGTGTATTGCTGAAAATGCCTACCTTGTCCCCTGAATTTCTTCCTGTATGTCTTGTAAAACATTATATCCTGCATTAACTTGTACAAATTAATAATTTACCTGCACTTTGAGAAGTTCTGTCTGCTTTCCTGTTGATGTACTTAACACATAATAACAAATACATTTTCACAGGTAGCAGTTTTTTTAGCTGTTGCAAAAATAAACACTGTCTCCCAAATATTTTGACCATTCTTAAAAAAGAAAAGCCTTGTCTCTTGTCTTGAAATGATAAAACAATGTGTTGAAAGCTAAGCATTTTTTAGAATAGACTGTAATCTGCAATGTGTAAAAAAAAAAAACTCATTTGTTTTCCTGATTTTGTCACATTTCATTTTCATCTACTCTTGATGTGTTTCCCATCAGGTGTAATGTTCAGTAGTGGCAAAAGATGGAAGCAGCAGAGGCGATTTACACTTTCAACCCTAAAATATTTTGGATTTGGCAAGAAGTCTCTTGAGCCTGTCATCTTGGATGAATTTACACATTGTGCAAAAGACCTCATCAGCTATAAAGGTAATTCGTAAAAGCACGGCACATCATTAAGAATGATACACAATCAGAATGTAGCCCAGTTATCCCCTAATATAATCAGGGAAGGGCCCTGAGTTCTTTAACTGAAATAAAATAATATACCATAGGTGTATGTGCATGTAATCTGTTCTCTGTTACCTTTAAACTTTTTATGTGTCTTGAGTCTTTTATTCACTTCAAATTAACTGTAAATCTAAGCACGGTAATAATCCTTTAAATCAGTTCCTTTAAACCCAAGTGCCTTCTCCTTTAAAAACTTCACTGGTTTTAACCTGTATTCAAACACCTTTACTGAATGAAATAACCAAAAATCACACTGAAATCAGTGATAAGAATAGTAAACTCAATTATTTACTTTTAGAGAAAGGTATCAAAACAAATAAAATGCAGTGGTTTTTTAAATAAAATATAATTCAGTCTCTTCAGACCACTTGTTAGTCTCTTAAACTCACATATAAACTTCCACAATAATACTTTTAAATGGGGTACACACAATATTCAACTGATATTCGATTATCCATTTTCTTTTAAATAAAATAAAATAAAATAAAATAAAATACCAGTGGGCCCACACTCACCAAGCTCACACACACACACAGTCACCCGCCGGCAATTTGTTCTAAATTTCCCCGGGTTGCAGGCCTGATAGAATGCTTGGGTACGGTGAGGCTTAAAACTCTCTGGCCACTTCACTCAAAAGAGCAACAAATAAAAATGGTACCTTAAGCAAACAGTGAAGTCAGTTTGGCGGTATGAAGCAGTCTCTCGAACCAGCAGTCAGCAATCAGGATACTCTTGAGTTTCATCTGGGTGGCTCACGGTGTAGTCAGTAGCTCAGGGCCTCTCGTCCTTCTCCTCCTCTTTCTGCTTCTTCCTCAAATCTCCTCTTCGGAAAGATGAATTATAGCCTTGTTAGTAAACTGAGTTAGCTTAGCTTTCCTGTCGCTAAAAGTTCATTCACTTGGCTAGTGATGCATGCACACCCCTGCTAACCATACACCTGTGGTAGCTAATTGATTAATTATACATACCATGAAAAACTGTTCAACACACCTAGGGTAGAAATGTTCTCAGTTCCTCACAGAAGATATGTAGAATGTCCAGGCACAAAGTGTCGGATAGGCAGCCCTAAAAACACCAACTACATACTTTTCACAGACTTTGCTTACACGTTGTGACTCAGCCAGTCAAGCGACACACCTTCTTCTTCTTCTTCTTCTTCTTCTTCTTCTTCTTCTTCTTCTTCTTCTTCTTCTTATAAGATTCCGGCAGTTTTGACACTGTTTAGCGTATTACTGCCCTCCACAGGTCTGATGATGAACTAGATTTTTACATATAGTCCTGTGTTGCGCAGGAATTGCAAAATTGCCTTGGAGATCAGTTTATGGTTCTCACAGTGTCCAAACAAAGAAAAAACAGAAAAAGCCTGAACTCCAAGTCCTAACAGTCTATCAAACAATGTTTGTCTTTCTGTCCTATACTTTCTACACTCCAGAAAAACATGTTTTACTGTCTCAGGGCTCCCACATTCACATAAACCAGACTCATGTTTTCCTACAATAAACAAAAAGTGATTTAGCCCACAGTGACCCAGTCTTAATCTACACAGTTTAACTGAATCCCTACGAGACTGAAAAGTTCAGGTACATCTTTTTTTAACTTGAGACTGTAAAGAGAAATAGTGTCTACCTCTGCTTTCCTTTTCCCACCCTCTCTGCCATTCCTTCATTAAGCCCTCTTTAATTATTTCTCTCAGCTCCGCTCTCCCCCAGGGTATATGAACATCTACCTCTCTACTCAAACTCTGTTTTGCAATCTGATCCACCTGCTCATTCCCCCCAACCCCTGCGTGACCCGGCACCCAGCAAAAGGTGATGTTAGATCTAAAACCAATTCTAAAAAACACAGTTAGAATGTCAATAATAATATCAGGTCGAGCCTTAGATTTCCCCCTTCTTAAGGCTTCCAGAGCAGCTGCAGAGTCAGAACAGATTATAACCTCTCTAAGTCTGGTTTCCTCAATCCACCTTAAAGCCCATAAGATTGCCATTAGCTCAGATGTGAAAACAGTGCTCCCATTAGAGATGCGCCGGCCAAACTTCACCCCAAGCTGCTCCACATACATCCCAAACCCAGCTCTCCCACTAACTGGATCTTACCTTTTTCCTGTAGAAAGACCAGTTCAGTGTTCAGCTCGGGCAGCACCCAATATGGCATAGGTGGACAGCTTGTATGTTCCGCTACACTAACTTGTTCCAAACCCAGCTTCCCAGCCCACTGATTTATATTTGCAAAGAATGTTTTATACTTATTGCCTCCATCAGACTCTTGTAACAGGCACCTTGCTGAAAAAGTTTGATGACACCCACTTAGTTTTACCCAGTACTGCAACCCTAGCTTAATGCGCCTTAACCATAAGGGCATTTCTCCCATTTCAATAAGCAGGGCAGGGACTGGGGAAGTTCTGTAGGCCCCACAGCAAAGTCTCAAAGCCCTGGCCTGCAGCACATCTAGCCTTGCCAGAACAGATTTAGACGCAGACCCATACACAAAGCACCCATAGTCAAGAGAAGATCTAATCATGGCCTGGTAAATTAGAAGCATTGTCTCCCTGTCAGCCCCCCACTCACAGCCAGCCAGACTTCTGATAACATTCAAAACTTTTTCACATTTCACCAAAATTTTACTGACATGCACAGCCCAAGTCATCCGCTCTTCAAACCAAACGCCCAGAAATTTGAACACTTTTACCTTCTCCAGTGGAGATCCATACATATACAATTCAATATTAGGCAGCTTCCTTTTAAATCCAAATACCATATATTTAGACTTAGAGGCAGATATTTTGAAGCCCCATGTGTTCCCCCATTCCTCTACTGACTCTAATGCTCTTTGAATCTGCTTTAAAAAAAACTCAACATTTCGCCCTCTTTTCCAGATAGCCCCATCATCAGCAAACAAAGACAACCAGAATGCTCCCTCTACTTTGCCGAAAATGTCATTAATCATTATATTAAATAAAACTGGACTAATAACACTTCCCTGTGGGGTTCCATTCTCTATTTCTACACTCTTTGAGCTAACACCACCCACCATAACTTGTATAGTTCTGTTCATTAAAAAATCCTTGATCCAATTAAACATCCGCCACCTCACTCCTAAATCAAACATTTTAATCATTAAACCTTCCTTCCACAAAGAATCATACGCCTTCTCAATATCCAAAAATACACTGACTACACTCTCCTTATTGCTAAATGCCTTTTTAATGTCCTGATCTAAGACTGCAACTGACTCCACTGTGGACCTCCCATTTCGGAAGCCATTCTGGAAACCAACAAAGAGTCCTTTGGTCTCTAAAAAATACACTAATCTATTAGTAACAATTCTCTCCATAATTTTACATAGTACTGCTGTGAGTGCTATAGGGCGGTATGAGCTAGGGTCAGATGCCTCTTTGCCTGGCTTCATGATAGGGACCACAACCGCATGTTTCCATTCCTTTGGCAAGCAACCCCCTGCCCACACAGTATTAAACAAAGCCAAAATGTCCTCGAGTACCATGTCATCCAGATGTTTAAATAACTCGTATGACAACCTATCTCTCCCTGGGGTAGTATTTGCCCCAGACATAATTGCTTCTTTCAACTCTTTAATAGTAAAAAACTGATTAATGGGATTATCATTATCTAAACTCCCCTCCAATTTCCACTGGTTAACTGTCATCACCTCTGTCCTCTTCTTACATCTCTCAACTCCCAGGCTCCCTGAACTGTGCACTGCTTGAAAAATTTCAACAAACATGTCTGCTTTTTCTTTATTAGAAACTGCGACAGTCTCTCCTTTCCGTAACACAGGTATTGCTCTGCTTTTATATACCCCTGACATTTTACGTACAGCTGACCACAGCTGCCTTACTGAAGTCTCAGGACCTAGCGTACCACATTTCCTCCAACTACATCTCTTCGCCTCTTTAATAACTCTTCTTGCCACTGCCCTTAGTCTTTTATACTCTGTTGCATTAAACATTATTGGATACTTTTTTAATCTTCTATATGCTACATTCCTATTCCTTACAGCTTCGTCACACTCTTTATTCCACCATGGAACCAGCATACGAGGCCTAGGTGCCTGCTTCACAGGAATGGAACACCGAGCAGCCTCATGTAACATGAAGCTAATGGCAGCATTCCAATTGTCCACAGAATCCTCACTATCAACCTCTCCAATTAAGCTTCGTGCACTCTCCTGGAATTTATCCCATTTAGCTTTAGAAAAATTATATTTAGGAACTTTCTCTTCCACTTCTCTCCTCAAATCCCTACCAAACCTGCAGATAATTGGATAATGATCGCTACCCAGATTGTGTTTGTCCATTACATCCCATTCACCAATTCTAGCTAAGTTTGAAGAAGCAATTGATAAATCTATGTGGCTACATGCATTTCTCATAATATCATACCTAGTTGGCCTTCCATCATTTATCACTACCAGATCATACTTATCTAAAAAATCTTCTATTATCACACCATTACTATCCCTGTGGTCACTGCCCCATAAAGGATTATGTGCATTAAAATCTCCCACCCATATAACAGGACACCTTACCTTCTCCATTATATCATCAAAATCTGACAATACCAAAGGTTTACAGGGATTATAATAATTTAACACAGTTATAGAATTAGGACTGTTCCAAACCTCCACAGCCAGACACTCACTACAAGAGTAAACATCAACTTTTCTAGCTGCTTTATTCCGAGGAACCTTTCGGCAGCCCCCACCACTAGCCCGATGATGTCTGACCTGTTAACTGCTCTTTGAGCTCCCACCAACACATCAGAAACAAAAGCCAAAAATGATTCCTTATTAAAAATCAACATGTCAGAGGGAAACACCGGCAACAGTTTTGGCACATTTGGCTGGCTCCCCGTCACTGCTCCTTCCCTAGCAGTGGTATCTGTGCGTTCTCTAGCCACTCTTTGAACTGCCTCTGCATAGGACACCTTATCCTTCTCCTTCACAGCCTGCACTCGCCTAGCCTGGACTGAATGCATACAACCACGAAACGCTGCTGCATGATCCCCACCACAATTAGGGCACTTCGGAGCCTCTGCCTCACAGTTTTGAATTACATGATCTCCACCGCATTTTGCACACTTTCTTTTACCCCGACAAGACCCAGCCACATGTCCAAATCGCTGGCAATTATAACAGCGCAGCGGGGGTCTGATGTACTCCCTTACCCGATATGCCATACTTCCTAAAAACACTCTCTGCGGCAGGACACTGTCCGTGAATGTTAATAGGACCGGTGGATCCCCATCGGCTCCCTCCCTGCGCCTAAATCTCAGTACCTCAGTTACCTGGCCGCCCTTAACATTTTCTAAGATTTCCTTCTCCGACAAGCCAGCAAACACTCCATACACAACTCCCCTGAGCCCCTGCTGGCTTCCTTTAGGAACCAAACTCTCCACCTTAACCACCAACTTCCCCGCTGCCCGAGCATCATTATATTGTTTCTTGTTTTTGCAACAAACTCTCAGCATTCCATTATATAGTATCTTGGCTTGAAAATCCCTGCCTATCTGGCTCTCTAAAGCGTTGGTTACTTTTAATGGATTTATTGCTTTAAACCCCGGATCTCCCTGATTCGCCCCCTTAACTTTAAACAGCACCACAAACTCTTCATTTGCTCCAGTTCTCCTAATTTTATTTCCTTCATCTCCTGACATTTCAGGTCTCTCACTCGATGCCATTCTCTTATTCCCCCCCTTTTCCCGACACACTGCCTGCCAATTACCACCCTGAGCCCCCCCCCCCGCTCCCAGAAGCCATGGGCCTCAAAACCCCTTACTTTCCTTAACACTGATCTAAATCTATACTAGCTCTATTCTTGTGAAAAAGAAACAAAGATATACAGCGTGAAAAAAACGAAGGCCCTGCGCAACGTCAGAAACGTTCTCACACAGCTCCACGTGCAGTTGCTCGTGACGTCACCTCTCTCCTAACTCAAGCGACACACCTTCACACACCACTTCCTTTTCCTGCTATTACCTTCAAAATAAAACACTCTTCAAAATAAAATAAACATTTACTCAACATACTTATATCTTTACATCCGTACCTGTTTAACTTATTTATTCCACAGCATTTTTTAATCTTACAGGAAACAACTTTTAACCATACTTATGATGTATCTTTTTATGAACTGACTTTTTAACCTTATTTAAGATACTTTTAATGTTTAACAATTTTAAACATTAACTTTATTACATATGGTATTTTTAACCGGGTTACAAGAAATACCCAATTTACATCTAATTTTCTGTCTAATTGTGGAGGTAAACCATTCAATCCTCAATTCACCATCGACAACGCTGTATCCAACATCATCTGCTCCCTGGTTTTTGGTCATCGCTTTGAGTACAATGATGAGAAGTTCATGAAACTGATGAAGTGGTTTGACAGATGTGTCATGATTCACGCCTCCATCTGGGCACAGGTACGGCATTTTTAAGTCATTGATGAAGTCTAAATGCTGCACTACTGTTTTGCAATACATTCCAAATCACGAGTTGTTTAGTGGCTCTATTTGGGTGTAAAATTTACACACATACACAAAGCACAAATTGAAATTGTGTAAGATGCAGATCTTTGTCAATGGAATTTCGGTATTTGGTAGTGATTGTAGTAGAAAACCTTTCACTGAGAGGCTTTATCATTATGTTATTGTTCCATTCTGCTCTCCTCTGCAGGTTTACAACTCATTCCCTCTACTGATGAGACGTTTGCCAGGGCCACATCAGACAGTCCAGCACATCTGGAACAATTTAAAGGACTTCGTAAGAGCACAGATGAAGGAGCACCAACAGAACTGGGATCCCTCAGACCAAAGAGACTTCATCGACTGCTACCTGAATGAGATTGAGATGGTGAGTGACGCTAGATGTGGCTTTGTATTTCTTATACTGTAGTGCTCATGAAGACGCTTAGAGTTCACTTCCTGTAAACATCATATCTGCTTGTTTTGCAAATTCATCAGAACTATCAGCGGGGCTTTTCACTGGCACCATTTCTGGCTGGTCTATTTTGAAAAGTGCAATGACAGCACTATCTTTTTAAGCCTTACCAATTTTAATCTTTAACAAAGCAAAGGCTTTTAATATTCTTTCAAGGTACAGGACCAGCACAAATTAAAAGCTTTTTTGATTTACTTACTGAAGTTACCATCATAAATGGTCTTGGCTGTAAAAGTGCTGATATTGTTATTGTACCACAGTAGCCAGAGCTATAACTATAATATTATTACTTTCAATAATGTTGTTGTAAGCTACTGTCATTACCTGCATCTCTCTCTCTCTCTCTCTCTCTCTCTCTCTCTCTCTCTCTCTCTCTCTCTGTCTCATTGTGTCATACGGATTACTGTTAATTTATTATGCTGATCTGTTCTGTACGACATCTATTGCACATCTGTCCGTCCTGGAAGAGGGATCCCTCCTCAGTTGCTCTTCCTGAGGTTTCTACCATTTTTTTTCCCCATTAAAGGGTTTATTTTGGGGAGATTTTCCTTATCCGCTGTGAGGGTCCAAAGTACAGAGGGATGTTGTATGCTGTAAAGCCCTGTGAGGCAAATTGTGATTTGTGATATTGGGCTTTATAAATAAAAGTGATTGATTGATTGATTGATTGATTGATATACTGTAGCTGTTTAAAATGATTTTGCAGCATGTTTTTAACACATGTATTTGGTAATATTCTCAGAATAAGGGGCAGGCTGACAGCACTTTTGATGAGGAAAACCTGATTACTTGTGTCTTGGACCTGTTTGTGGCTGGCTCTGAGACCACATCCACCACTCTGCACTGGGCTTTCCTCTACATGGCAAAGTACCCTGAGATCCAGGGTAAGATCACTGACCAAGCCAAAAAAACTCTTTGATCTTAATAAATAATGTGCAAATGGGTGACACCAGAACAAAGGATACAGTATTGTAACCCTAGTTACAATAGCACAGGTGGAGCCCTCTACTGGACTCTATGTGTAATGCACTCCTCCAATCAAGAGCATGCAGTCACCCTATGAAATGTGCATAAATGTTTTGGGCCAATCAAGACAAGCCTACCTGAATAGGTGCCCACAGTATAAGGAGGCATATCACACCATGACTTATTCGACACCCTCTTAATCAAGCAGCACCAAAGCTACAGGGCCCCTAGTTAGAGGGCTCTGAGTCTGTATTAATGAACTAGCAGTAAAATATCTTAAACCTTCATTGTATCTCACACAGTCTCTGCCCTCCACTGGACTCTAGTCAAATAGTGGGTGGGCAACCTGTCGCAACGTATAACTGTAGATCAACTCAGCCACACTGATCCTGACCAGGAATGCTAGCTCGTGACTGAGTGTTACTCGTGGAGCCCACAGAGGGTGGAACCTTCGTGAGATAGAACAAGTTTATCAATGGTCATTTTAAATTTGTAAAAATGAGATACATCACATTAAGACTTTTACTCCAAATATTGTTCAGATGAAGCATAATCACCATTGCTGTGCAGCAAGCATACACCAGTAATGAGTGCAATATGCAATATCTGTACATGCATGTACATGCCTGCAACCTCAATTGTCACGCCCTCTTTTAGCCCATTGGCACAAACACAGACACACACCTTTACACAGCTAACCAACCAACAGAGCAAACTAATACTAGTCTGTTTACTAACGTGGCAGTGCTGCATTGTGCTTCATCTCTCCATGAGTCTTCTGCAGCCTGTTAATGAACTACAGTTTCAACCTCTGTCTGTGTTCCTATCCTGCTGCACAGCAAAGGTCCAGGCTGAGATAGACAGAGTGATTGGACAGTCCAGACAGAAGTCCATGGAAGATCGTGCAAACCTGCCCTACACTGAAGCTGTCATTCATGAGATCCAGAGGATGGGCAACATAGTTCCTCTCAGCCTGCCTCATGTTACTACCAAGGACATCCAGCTGGGAGGCTACACAATCCCAAAGGTCGGTTGTACTATGTAAGGTCTATGTCACATCTATTACCACGTTACATCTTTGTAAATTGTGATTATGATTCCAACCACCAGGGCATTACAGTAATCCTCAATCTGACCTCGGTGCTGTTTGACAAGAAAGAGTGGAAGACGCCCAACACCTTCAACCCAGGACACTTTCTGAACGAGGAGGGCAAGTTTGTGAAGCCAGCTGCTTTCATCCCTTTCTCTGCTGGTGAGGAGCAACACAATGTCTTGTTTTTTGTTTTTTATTGTATCTTCACCTGTTTATACCGGAGCCTGTCCCAGCATTCACTGTGACTCTGGTGTTTTCTCACATAATGCTGTTGGATTGGTCTAGAGGAACCAATGTCTGACCAATGACTTTGGTGAACCTCTGACCTTTTGTCTGGACCTAACATTTACAAAACATATGATTGTTAACAGAACAGTTAGCAGTTCCACGTCTCATAAAAGCCTAAAAGTATGAGAAAGACGACCACTGTTGTCTCATTTTCACTTTGTTTCTGTTTGTTTTTCTCTCTCAGGTAAGCGGGTGTGTCTCGGAGAGAACCTGGCCAGGATGGAGCTTTTCCTCTTCTTCACCTCCTTCATGCAGCACTTCACCTTCTCCATGCCTGCTGGGGTGAAGCCTGTGATGGACTATTGCTTTGGCATCACTGTGGCACCACGTCCATATGAAATCTGTGTAACTTCACGCTAAAAGTAGCTACCAAACAATGTATAGACTCATACATGTTTTGGGCATCTGAGAAGTTAAATTTCTCTTTGTTGGAACTGCTAACAACTCACTGACATCTGAAATGGTGTCTCAACTAGACACTGCTTTTTGCAAGTGACCAAACGCCCAAAATGTTGGTAGCTATTGATTTAATCTAAACTGCTTTATATTTCATAGGCTTATATCTTAACTGTTTTTATTATAACTACCCAACAGCATTTGAAATTGTTAAAATTAGCTCTGCCTTGACCAACTACAATTGTAAAATGATATTTGCTGATCAATGCAACAATAATAATCATCCTACAATATAATATTCACCAGTCTAACACTCACAGGGGGCATTTTCTAAATTGAGTATTGTTACTATACTATACATAAATTACATTTTCAATGTTTAACGTCAACTTGAATTGGAGTATCTTCATATACTTATATACAGGGGTGACTGTGGCTCAGTGGAAGAGCAGGTTGTCCACCAATCGGAAGATTGGCAGCTCGATCCTCAACTCCTCTAGCCTACATGTCAAAGTATCCTTGAGCAAGATGCTGAGCCCCGAAATTGCTCACAATAACTGTTACATTGGTGTGAGAGTGTGTTTAAAAACTGAGTAGCAGGTGGCACCTCGCCTCGGCCACCAGTGTATGAATGAATGGGTGAATGTGACTCGTAGTGTAAAAAGATTTCATTATTTTCAGCAGTTTACGCAAGTTTGAGATCAAAAGTCGGATCTAATTTGTCTGATTTTCACTGCAAACTGAATACTTGAACAACCCTGGAAACTATGCAGCAAGGTTGTTCAGAAAAAATACACACATAGATAAATGTCTTTTATTTTTGAGAACTTTCTTCTCCTTCTTTCTCCCAGTAAATCTCTTATTTGGTCTGACCAATGACTAGGAAATTGAAACACCTCAATGGTGATGCTGATGGCCCCAAAGTGAGTGTGAAAACAGACAGAGTTCAGGTGTGTAGAGAGACAGTAGGGTAGAATCGTCCATGAAGTCACCACCAGAGGAGGCCCTTTCCGCAGTCTTCTCATTGATATTAACAGCTGTACAACACATTTCCTGTGCTTAAGAGTTGGTTGCCCTCTGCTGGACACATATGTATGGACACAGCAGCTCCCCTCCCGGCTAACAGCTGGCAGCCTCCCCGCGCGGACAGCTCTGTGTCCCCCTCGCACACACCACGGAAACAGAGCAGCAACAGAGGAAACAGAGTCGCTTAACTCATAAAGGTGAGACTATGAAACTGAGCAATAACAAAGTTAACGGGTCACAAGCCAGTGCCAGGCCAAGAGCCAGAGACCATTCTGCCAAAAACAAAGCTAAGAGGATAGACACCATTCTGATTGGGGATTTTATAACGAGGCAGGTGGAAATGGCCAGGACTGAAAATCTAACTGTGAATAACACATCAGTCAGAGAGGTGGCAGCTATGCTACCAGACATTATGTCTACACGGCCACATATTAAGAAGATTGTTATTCATGCTGGCTCATTTGACATCCTCACGAATAAATCTGGGTCTGAGACCCTAAAGAAAGACTTTTTGTTTTTATTGGAAACACTTAAAAAACTTCACTCAGGAGTGTCTTTCATCTCTGGACCTATCCCAACACTCGGCAGAGGTTGCGAGTCCTTCAGCAGACTCCTTGGCTTAAGCACATGGCTGTCATCAGCCTGCCTTGAGCAACAGGTTGGATTTATTGACAATTTTAATATTTTTTGGAACATAAAAAGCCGCTTCATGTCAGACGGGATTCACCCAAACAACCTTGGCTCCAGATATCTTGGCTGCAACATACGTCACACCATCGAGTCATCTTGTCAGAACATATGTGCACTGATAAGCAGGAAGGTCAGCACACAGGGAGCAGACAGACAGACAGTTACTGCTCCAAAAACAACAACCGCCTCCCATGATGATGACGTCACGGTCTGTGACTCTGTCCTCCACATTACAAGAAACCTGCAGAGATTGTCTCTGTCCCAGAAAGAATGTCAAGAAAAGAAGAGATAGGACAGTCACCATGCCGCTTTCCCCCTTATGCCGGCAATGTCACTCAGCCGGCGGCATGGCGAAAATAAAAACAACTGCAGAAAATCAAGGACAGTCAACCCATCAAATCTGATATGTATCTCATGTCAAACACAGTCTGTCTCTAAACTTATGCCAGATAACGTTTCACAACTAGCACTTCTAAATATCAGGTCTCTGGCTGGCAAATCCTTCTTAATCAATGATTTTATTAACAAGCACAAACTTGATTTTATGTTTTTAACTGAAACTTGGCTAGGTCAGGAAAATAGTGCAGCAGTTTTAATTGAGACAGCCCCTCCAAATTTTAGTTTCTTTAGTGAAGCAAGAATACATAAGAGAGGAGGCGGAGTTGCCACTCTGTTCAAGGACAGCTTCCAGTGTAAGCAAATGTTTTATGGTCAATTTGACTCCTTTGAATATGTTGCCACTCAGTTAAAATCCCCCTGTCGAGCAATTTTAGTGACCATCTACAGACCCCCCAAATATGATGCAAGGTTTTTTGATGAGTTTGCCAAATTGCTGTCTATTGTGTGCATGGAATTTGACTGTGTTGTTTTAGTGGGAGATTTTAACATTCATGTTGATAATCTTACAGATGGGTGTGCTAAGGAACTGTTAAATATTCTGGATAACTTTGGGCTTTCTCAGCATGTCACAGAACCAACACATAACAGAGGACACATATTAGATCTAATTATTTCCAAAGGTCTTAATATCTCTGAGGTTGTGGTGAACGATGTCGCTTTATCTGACCATTACTGTGTTTCATTCAAAATGACCACCCTTGCTAATCCTATGAAAAGTGAAGCAGAGGTGATCAGAAAGCGTTATATAAATGATAACACCTGTGCATTATTTACCCTGGGTTTTACACCATCACAAACCCTGCCCTCAGCTCTAGTTGATGACCTTGTAAGCAGTTTTAGTTCCAATGTTATGACTGTTATTGATTCTATCGCCCCAATTAAGACCAAAGTTATGTCAGGCAGGAAAAAGGCACCCTGGAGAAACGCCACACTGGTTAAAGAATACAAAAGAGTATGTAGACAAGCTGAACGCAGGTGGCGAAACAACAAACTCCAGGTATATTACGACATTTATAAAGAGAGTCTTCACAACTATAACCAGGAACTGAAGAATGCAAGGCAATCATATTTTTCAGAGATTATCAATAGAAACAGTAATAATGCCCGCACACTTTTTTCTGTAGTGGACAGACTGACCAACCCCACAGCATCACTCCCTCCTGAACTACTGTCTAACAAGTCATGTAATGACTTTGCAGCCTTCTTCACAAACAAAATATTACAGATAAGACAGGCAGTGTGCAGCTCCAGCTCAGGAATGATAACACTTGTGCCTTCCTGTCCTCCGGTTAATCTAGGACATTTTAGCCTCCTAGATTACACAACTCTAACAGAAACGGTTTCAAAATTAAAGCCCACAACATGCTGCCTTGATATTCTGCCTTCAAACTTTTTTAAAACCATTTTTAACTGGGGTTTTTTTGGGGAGTTTTTCCTTATCCGCTGTGAGGGTCTTAAGGACAGAGGGATGTCGTATGCTGTAAAGCCCTGTGAGGCAAATTGTGATTTGTGATATTGGGCTTTATAAATAAAATTGAATTGAATTGAATTGAACTGCATAGCTCCAGATGTACTGCAGATAATAAATACTTCTCTTAAAGCAGGCCAGTTTCCCCAGGCCTTGAAAACTGCAGTAATAAAACCTCTCCTAAAAAAATCAAATCTGGACGCCACAACAATTAGTAACTATAGGCCAATATCAAATCTGCCATTTTTGGGGAAAATCATTGAAAGGGTTGTCTTTCAGCAAATCCATACTTTTATGATGCAAAACAATCTTTTTAACACATTTCAGTCTGGATTTCGGCCACATCACAGCACTGAGACTGTACTTATCAAAGTCTTAAATGATATTCATCAGAATAATGATGCATGCAAATCCTCTGTCCTGGTATTACTAGATCTCAGTGCTGCATTTGATACAGTTGATCATAATATACTACTTAGCAGATTGGAAAAGTGGGTGGGACTCACCGGCACTGTGCTACAATGGTTCAAATCTTACTTACAAGATAGGGACTTTTTTGTGTCAATTGGTAACCATGAATCTGAGCGAACTACGATCACATGTGGGGTTCCTCAAGGGTCCATTCTCGGACCACTTCTATTCAACATCTATATGCTACCCCTAGCCCAGATTATGGAACATCACAACATCTCCTATCATACGTATGCCGACGACACACAACTCTATATCTCAGTGTCATCACACGACTACAGTCCCTTACTCTCATTGAGTAACTGTATTCATCAAATCAATGACTGGATGTGCCAGAATTTTCTCCAGCTAAATCCAGAAAAGACAGAGGTATTAATTTTTGGCCCTAGAAATGAAAGGGCAAAGATCAGCGCCCACCTTGGCTCTATGTCATTGACAGCTACAAATCAAGCCAGAAATCTTGGTGTTATTATTGACTCAGACCTGAACTTCAACAGCCATTTAAAGTTTATTACTAAATCTGCCTATTACCACCTGAAAAATATAGCTAGAATTAAGGGGTTTCTGTCTAAACAAGACATGGAAAAACTTATTCATGCATTCATTTTTAGTAGGTTGGATTATTGCAATGGCTTATTTACAGGCCTTAACAAAAAATCAATCAGACAGCTGCAGCTGATTCAGAACGCTGCCGCCAGAGTCCTTACAAACACCAGGAAACTGGACCATATTACACCGGTCATTAAATCGCTACACTGGCTTCCTGTGAGTCAAAGAATAGATTTTAAAATCTTACTGCTGGTCTACAAAGCCCTAAATGGTCTCGGACCAAAATACATGCTTGATCTACTGGTTCCCTACGAAGCATCCAGACCCCTTAGGTCATCTGGAACAGGTTTGTTGTGTGTTCCAAGAACAAGAACCAAGCAAGGTGAGGCAGCATTCAGTTATTATGCTCCTCACCTGTGGAACAAACTTCCTGTAGATCTGAGGTCTGCTCAAACTGTCAGCTCCTTTAAATCAGGGCTAAAAACACTATTGTTTACTGAAGCGTACTCTTAGATTAAATACTTACCTGCTGTATTCTACTGCCCGTACTTTTTAACTACACACTGCTGATTTATGCCTTTTATTATTCTACTTCTTTTCTTATCCTGACTGTTCAATTTGGGTTTATTGTTAAATCGGCTGCAAATGTCAGAGATTTCAGGGCTGAGGACTGAGTCCGGGCTGAAATCTCCAATAGGAGAGGTTTCAGAGTCTAAGGAATTAAGAGGTTGGGCTGTCGGCATCCCTGCGGGGGGTGACCGGGAAGTCTGAGTCAGCTGCTGTGACTCGACACTGGGGAGCACGCTGTGAATTCAGATCTAGAAGGGAGACGTCCTGTGATGGATCTTTAGAGTTCATTACAATCTGAATAAGACCAGTGTGTGGAACCTGTGTCCGGCGGGACGGTAAGACTCTGAGTGAAGGACTCAAGAGCAAATAGTGGGCGCGCATTGGGTGTATTATTAAGGGAGACGTCCTATACACTCATTAAAAAACAGACCCGACCAACCAAATTCAAGCTGGTTCAGAGCCAGGGACAAGAGATCCTAGCTGAAATCTCTGACAGAGCCGGTTTTTGAAATTAAACTTAAACTTAAATGTTGTCTAAGAGCACTGTTTGGTGGCTAGGAGTAGCAGGAGTGATATAGGCCATCACGGCCTGGACCCTTGGCCGTATAGCTTAGGCCGCTATGCAAATGTTGTATCTGTGTATGCAGTGCTCTTAGATGCAATGTATTGAGCCTGTTTTTATTTTATGTTACTGTATTTTATTATCACTATCATTCTCAATTTCTATTTCCCTTTTTAATTGACGGTTTTTATTGTTTTAAATTGTGTCTTGTTGCTTTTAATGTCTCTGTAAAGCACTTTGAATTACCTTGTGTTGAATTGTGCTATACAAATAAACTTGCCTTGCCTTGCCTTGCCTATGGTAATTTTCTACAGTTCTATCTGCAGGCATGCCAAATAAAATACCAGAGAAGAAGAAATTGAGATTAAAAGCTTCAGCACTGGATAATCTGTCAGTAGTATGACCAAACTTGTTTGATTACAGATGGGAAATGTGAGGAGTTCTTAAGAGATTTTATAATGTTCAGTTCAGTGGTTCCCAAACTTTTTTGAGACCCCTTCTCAATTGTTAATTAAACTGGCGACCCCTGAGTAAGTGACATATTTTATGGATATTTCATATTCTGTTTAATACATAACAATAACAATACAGAGCAACTGATGGACTGTACAAATGACCCAATTAGTGAATGCAATACCTGCAGGAAGTTATGTAAACAAGTGGTTTGTCTCAGTTTATTTCTACATATTGCATCAGAGGTGAAATTTCCCAACATGTTTAGGAACATTTTATACAATTCCCTGTATATATTATGTTTTTTTAATAATCCTGCAGAGATCTTTTAAATGTTTATATCTTGAATGAAGGCCTTAATTGTAAAAATGATTTTATTTAGCTTTCTTAACAGAAATATATTAAATCCTACAGTATAGGCCCACTATATATATATAGATATGTATTTTAATTTTTCTTACACCCCTAAAATTAATAAAGCCTCACAACCCCCAGGTAGCTTTTTAGAGCCCCTAGTGGGGGTCAGGACACCCACTATGATACGATACGCTACGATATACTTTATTGTCCCTGTAGGGAAACTTGTTGTGGACTCTGGAGCTGCATAAGTACTGCTGCCTCACAATAATAGTCCAGAAGAAATAAAAAGCATACACCATAAAAACATAAAAACACATACTACCCATAACAGTATTGCATATCAGCCATTCACGTATTGCACATAACACCAGCACACAACGGGGCAACATAAGCAAAGCACAACAAAGCCCTTAAAGTGTTAAGCAACATTATTTAAACCCTTTTTAAATGATTCAGTTTAAATTTGGGCGTCCTGTATTGTCTGCCCTTGGGTAAAAGTTTGTACTTAGTGTGGAGAATGTGGGAAGAGTCAGACAGTATTCTCTATGCTTATCTGAGAACAGACCGCTCATACAATGTCTGGAGGGACGGGTGTTCCTTCCTCCCCGTGACATTCATGGTTTCTGAACCAGACAAGCAAGTGTTCAAGATCATGCTAGTGCAGATGTTTCATTGATGCATTAACAGTACTGTAGTGGGTCCATTTTTGGCAAGTCTACACTGTAGGTACATAATGGTTGCTGTATTTGGTGAACTTTGCAGTGCATGCCCACGGGGACATGGCGCAGTGTGCCCACTGTGCCCACAGTAGACCTACTGTGTGTCCACAGTTTGACCAGCCCACTGTGGGCCCTTCTACCACTGTGAAATGTGGGGCCTGGTGGGCAAAGCTACTGCATTTCAAAACTATTAATTAAAGCTTAATTCTCAGAATTTTTTCTATGAAAATTCTGCAGTATTCATTGATGTTTTGATGCCCCAAATTAAGTTCATGCTATTAGCTCTTTGAAATAAATGTGCTGTACTCTTATAGTTACCTCACTGTCACTGATATGACAGCTGTGCAACACAATTCCTGTGCTGATCATGGTGAAAAATAGACACAGAAACTTCATCGACTGTTGCCTGAATGACATTCAGAAGGTGGACAAAAAACTATAAGCAAATAAATAAATATCTATACTACACATTCCTCAGTCCCAGCTTCTCAGTTAAAACATTTCTCACTTTTCTTTGTATTACATCACTTGTATTGATTGATTGGAAGAAATAAACACATGCACAGAATCTAAATGCTACAGCATGTGCAGCGTTTGCTTCCAGCAGTTTCAGGGGAGATGCTTTCCTGTTTAACGTCACAACAAGTTCCATGATAAAAGTTTTCCCCTCAGTTTGACGTTAAAGAAGTCGAGTGGCCTGCACCGAGCTCTGATCTGACCCTTGCCAGAGAGAGGATCTTTGGTGGCTTATATAATGCCTTTATATGAGCCTAAATGAGTTGTAGTTAAAATGAACTAAAAAGTCTGAAATGCCATTTCCATGGATTGAGATGATATTACCAAAGATAAAATATGGGTTTTGTTTCAACATTAGAGAGACGTTTGGGGGTCCTCCCCCTAAGATGCTCGGGCGTCAAACACTTCATTTCCTGCATTCTGGTGAATGTTTATGCACCACATTGTGTCTTTTCTGCATTTATGGCCCTGCTGTGCATAGTTACTTCTTATTCTTTTACTTTTATGGCATATTATAACCACAGAGGTGTCGCTTTAGCAGTTTGTCAAAATAAAATAAAAGTCCAATATTTTCAAGTTTTCACTGGCAGGAAATAATGCACGTGATGCCCACCCACCCCCATTTTCATGTTTTTATTGTCAGAGACTCGTGCACGTGTTGCCCCTGCACACACACATACACAGATACAGACATACACAAAATCTACACTAATGTGATTAGAATCAAAAACCACAACTTCATTATCATAACAGGCTGTGAGTAAGAAGACTTCCAGTAGCTGTTGGCATACCTTAGCTAGTTGTTTGGGATGTGTGAAAAATAAAAACACAATAAACATCAAGTTTTGGTGTCAAATTGTTTAAATTTGCCTGTCTAATTGTCTTACATCTGAAAAGACTGCACTTTGTCTTACTCACACCATACGACAAATTCTAATCCCCACTGCAAAAAAAATAGAATAGCTATTTTAAGATCACTGACTTATAGTGTTTGATACCCCTTTTCCAGGTATGAAGAGGTCAAAGTACAGGGGCAACAGTAGGCCTTTGCTGTGTTGCCAGGACCAATAACATCAAGCTTCTCCCAAACAGTAGAGCAATGGGTGATATTATTGGCTCCTGGCAAAACAGCACCAACCTTTTATCTCGCAGGAGAAGCAAGCAGACTTCAGTTGGACAGGCTTTAGCCCTTGTTTGCAGAATGGATTCACTCTTGTTCTCAGTCATTGCATCCTGTGTTGAATGGGATGTCAAAAGTCTGATGCTCTTCATTGTAATTTTCATCCTCACCACAGATTACATTAAGAACTGTCAACCGGACAGCTTCCCTCCAGGACCTCCGGCAATTCCTATTTTGGGCAACATATTCAATCTGGATTACCAAAGGGGCCATGAGAGTATGACACAGGTAGATCAACAGATGTAAAAAAAAATGTATCTTTTAAAAAGCAATGTCAGCTTATAGGACTGTTATCTGTTATATGAAGCATCACGCTCTTCCTCCTCTCTCAAACCGCTCGCAGTTGGCAAAGAAATATGGAGATGTGTACAGCATGCGAATGGGCCAGGCGTGGTTGGTGGTGATAAATGGGTTTGGGGCTGTGAAAGAAGCTCTGGTACATCAGAAAGACAGCCTGGTGGACCGTCCACCCCTTCCACTGGTCCTTAGCCTAACCAATGGACGAGGTGAGAAGACATGAAACACTTACTTTTTTTCCTCCAATCATTGTTAAAGTTTAATAAGCTTAAAGATTATGTTTTGCCCTTTTCGTGATTGTGTTGTATTTTTAAGGTACAGACACTATGTCACATTGTTTTGAATAAACAAAAGAACTAATTGGTGAACATATGTGCAAGTTATTTGAAGCTACTGACAATCTCAGTTTTCGCAAACCTTCATGACTCTTCTGTGTGCTTGTTTTGATCTGCATCTCCTCCTGTGTAATTGTTATAGAATCAATTAGAGAAGTGTTGATAACTTTCCTGACAGTGTACTTCACACATAGAAACAAATCTGTTTTCTATATAGCAGTTTTTTAGCAGTTACAAAAATAATTGAATGTATCAGAAGCTAAATTAAACCAAAAAGAGTTCTGTATAGCATGGGATTCCTTTATTTTTCTGGTTTTAATTTACTTAATTTGTATCTGCTTTTGATGTATTTCCTATCAGGGTTACTTCTTAGCAGTGGGAACCCTTGGAAGCAGCAGAGGCGTTTTGCTCTTTCAACCCTCAGAAATTTTGGACTTGGCAAGAAGGGAGCTGAACAAGTCATCTTACAAGAATTTACACATTGTGCAAAAGACTTCAGTAGCTACAAAGGTTAATATTTAATGCACAGTGAAACATTTAAAACGATACACAATGACAAGTGTGAAATTTACATTTAATTTTCTGTTTAACTCTCAAGGTAAACCATTTGATCCTCACCTCACCACCAACAAAGCCGTCGGCAACATCATCTGCTCCCTGGTTTTTGGTCATCGCTTTGAGTACCATAATGAGGACTTCACAAAAATAATGAAGCTGTTTGGAAAAGGTCTCCGCATTCAAGGCTCCATCTGGGCACAGGTACAGCATTTCAAAGCTACTGATGAACTCTTGATGCTGTGTAAAATGGTTGCGCAATATATTTCACATTGTGAATCAGTTTATTAGTCGTGTTACTGGGTGTGTTTAAGCACAGGTATATAATACTTAGTACAGACACAGCTCAAGTTGCATACTGTGTAAACTGCACAAGAGCCAATTTGTAAATGAGACTTCAATATTTAAATGATAAATGCCTATCAATATGTTACTGTTCTGATCTGCTCTACTCTGCAGTTTTACAACGCATTCCCTTTTGTGATGAGATATTTGCCAGGGCCACATCAGACGGTCCAGCACATGTGGAAGGATGCAAAGGACTTCATAAGAGAACAGATTAAGCAGCACAGACAGAACTGGGATCCCTCGGACCAAAGAGACTACGTCGACTGCTACCTGAATGAGACTGAGATGGTGACTGAGATGTTGCTTTGTTTATCTTACACTGTGTTCATAAAGATACTCAGTGCTCAGCTGCTGTGAACATCATAACTGCTGACCTGATGTGCACTTTTGTCACAGCCTTTGCCTTATAGCACTATCTTTTAAGCCCTTGTCTCCAACAGCATACACCTATTTTAATCTAACAAATAAAGTGATTAATAGTGTTTTACTCTACTTACTTATGTTAAAATTTTAAATGATTATAACCATGGCTGTGGCTGTAATAGTGCTGACATTTAGTTGATCTAAATTATTTTGCAGCGTGTTTTTAATACTTCTGTTTGTATATATTCTCAGAATAAGGGGCATGCTGAGGATGAGGGTTTTGATGGGGAAAACCTGGTCATGTGTGTCTTTGATCTGATTTTGGCTGGCTCTGAGACCACATCAAGCACCCTGCGCTGGGGATTCCTCTACATGGCAAAGTACCCAGAGATCCAGGGTAAGATCACTTATCAGACCAGTGAAGCTCTTTGTTCTTACTCAGTCACGTGTGAAGCAAATAAAATGTATTGGTGGTAATTCTGAGGTCGTAAAAAATAAATGCCAGTGTTTTCAGTTCTCTGGTAATGCTGGTGGCATACAACAGACTTTAACCCAAAAACCCAACATAGAGACAGTTGGAGTCGAATTAAAGTTTGTGTTGGCTTTATTCCAAAAGCAGGACAGGGTCAAAACCAGGAGATCAGCAAGTGAAGGCAAGCCAGACCAGACAGGGTAGCAGACAAAGAATCATCAACCTATGATGCTGGAAAGCTAGAGTGGATGCAAACTAGACAATCTGGAGGAGAGTTAGCAGACTGGATTCTCCTTCACCAGCTTCAGGTGGGAGATATGAAAGTAGGTGTGGATGTGCATGACCCGGGCAAGGTGAAGATTGCTGCAGGGTTGATGACCATGATGAGGGCTCAGGGATGCAGCAGTGGTAAGCAGTCCTCTGATAGAAGGAAAGTGGATCAAGACTGTATCCAGGTGCGTCAACAGAGATGAATGAAGGCCTGAACTAATGAAACATTGGCTCCTCGTTCCTCCTATGGGAAGAGGGGAGGTTGGTAACCACAGGAACACTGGTAGGGGAAGACGCTGGTGGCAGGACTGGGATGGGTGTTGTGGGCATGCACTATCCAGAGGAGCTGTCTAGACCAAGTAGAATAATTGAGAGAAGATGCAACACAGGCTTCTTCATCTCCTGATCATCTGGATTGGGGGTGAAAGCCAAAGGATAGTCTGAAGGTGGCTCCCAGGAGGCTGCATAACTCAGTCCAGAAAGGAGAGATGAACTGGGGTCTCCAGTCAAAGACAATGTCTCTGGGAAGACCATGCACACATGGAGAAATGATCAACAACAGTGAGGACGACAGTGTTACCATATGATGGGGGCAGGCCAGCACTGTGAACCCTCTTATGACTGGGTCAAGGTTGCAAATCAATGCAAATCTGTCTATTCATGTGGCAGTGCTGCTCTGTGCGTCATCTGTCCAGGAGTCTTTACGATGTACTTTTGCAGCCAGTTGATAAAATACTGTGTCAACTGCTGTCTGTTCTCCTTCTGTTGCACAGCAAAGGTCCAGGCTGAGATAGACGAAGTGATTGGACAGTCCAGAGAGCCCACCATGGAAGATCGTCAACACCTGCCCTACACTGATGCTGTCATCCATGAGATCCAGAGGATGAGCAACATAGTTCCTCTAAGCCTTCCTCATTTTACCAACAAGGAGATGCAGCTTGATGGCTATACAATCCCAAAGGTCAGTTCTCCTATGCAAGTCTAATGTCACATACAGTACACTATCATGTTTTCACATTTATGAATTGTCATTATCATTCCAAACATCAGGGAGTCACAATAATCCCCAATCTGACCTCGGTGCTGTTTGACAAGAAAGAGTGGAAGACGCCCAACACCTTCAACCCAGGACACTTTCTGAACGAGGAGGGCAAGTTTGTGAAACCAGCTGCTTTCATCCCTTTCTCTGCTGGTAAGAAGCGACACAATCTCTCTTCACATAATGATTGCAGATCCCAGCAATATTTGAATGAAAGTTTCAGCATTTCTAATGGAAGGTTCCTGACATGTTAAGCTGTTGTTACGTTGACCATTACTTTTGCTCTACTGGTGGGCTCCAACAAAGCCTAAAAATGGCGATGTCTGAACGCAAGTGCAAAAAACTGCAGTTCCTTAACTGTCCACTTGAGGCTGGCTCCAAAAGCAAATCAATCTCCATAGACACCCCATGTTAAAATCATAGACGGTAAAAATAATGGATGTAGCTACCATGACATCATCCATTGGTTTCTGGACTCCCATCTTAAGCCTAGAGTTCGGTATTGCGGCTATCGCCATCTTAGGTTTTTTGGAGCCAGAAGTGACCATATTTGTGCGGGAAGCTGGAGGAGTGGATCTGACTGAGAAAGCGAGGACACTATCAGCAGACAGCTAACTCCCAGGAAAGTGGGCGAGAGGTACACTCTAAAACGTGGGCTGTCTTATGAAGTGTTACCCTATTTTCTTTAAAGACCCCACAAGAATGACTACTGCTGTTACACTGAGCTATTTTGACCCTGGGCCAAACTGTGTGTCAGAGAAATGTTCAGTTTGTTTTAATTTGTTTTCCTGTCTCAGGTAAGCGGCAGTGTGCCGGGGAGAGCCTGGCAAAGATGGAGCTTTTCCTCTTCTTCACCTCCTTCATGCAGCACTTCACCTTCTCCATGCCTGATGGGGTGAAGCCTCCAATGGACTTTTACTTTGGCATCACTCTGCCACCACGTCAACATGAAATCTGCATAAACTCACGCTTAGAGTAGCTCTGATGAAAAACATATACCTATCTATATACCTACAATGAATATGATTATGAATATAATCATGCGTATGATTATGAATATGATCATGATTATGATTGTGATCATGATTATGTGTGACAGAGTTTAATGAATATTTAGATGACATGTTATTAGGTCCACTGTTTATATACTGCATATATTTCTTTCATGCAGTAAAACTATGATGTACTTTTGTTTTGTTTGATTGTGGTTTTTTTTACTTAGTGGGTTCCAAGCCATGATTGTGAAACCTCTGGTTTAATATTTTAAATGTTGTTAGTTAAAGGTGACATGAGACACTTTGCCTACTCTTTGCCATAACCAATTCTCATAGCACGACAGTGGACAGATTTGAAATGACAAAATACCACCTTAAATGCAGAAATGTTGTCATTAACTGTCAAAATCACAATTTCAGAACACTAAGTGCAATTTAATATGCACTGACATTATCCAAATGCTTCTGTTGCTTACTTTCATTAAAGTGTAAAATGTATGGTGCGCCTTGGAAATGTATATTATGTTCCACTTTTTACTTCTAGTACATGTCAGGAGGACATTGAGGTCAATATACAGAACACACCTTTTATTTTATATTATCTTTGTAATGCCCAGTTCATTCAAGAGCAAAATAAAGAAGGGAGCTCCACTCAGCAAACATATAGATAAACCAGAAATGTATTCAGGATAACTCAGCCTTAGCAAAACTATAATGTATTATGTCAGCAATCGGTAGTGTAGTGAGGGTGTTGCATGTGAGGAAAAGATCTGACTCATGAAAAGGTCACTTCATCAAAGTTATTTGGTTAGATACAACTTAATACACATGAAACAGTAATATTGTGAAGTGGTATTGTGAAGTAGACTAAAATCCACACCTTCACCTTCCCTGTGTTATCATCACCCTTTCCTCCAACCCCTACAAAATCTACTTTATGTGTACAGTGATCACCCCCTTAAACTTTCACTCATTTTCCAAATATGTATTTCAAAATATTAATTTTGAAATATTTCTAGCCCTTCTGGGGCAAAAAAGTTGACAACAACCTTTACACAGTATCACCTCAATGTTGTTGTGGTTCATGTTTTAGTTCATGTTGCCTATCAATAGTGTAAGTCCAGCAAACGTGGAGCAATTCATCTAGAGTTGTGATTCTGAATACTGACAATTGTCAGTCCAATATACACTCTCCCATTACGGCTGTTTTGTTCTCCAACAACTCCTAATAAACCATCTGGCTTGCTAAATGTGTGACGGTCTTTACAAGCTAGTTGTTAACGATAACTTTCTACCATTAGGTGCTAAGCAGGTTAAACAGTGAGCTAAATGGAAGCTGTAAAGTAATAAGAAACTAGAATTACCAACACGTGGTTGTATGCTTCAGCAAACAAGCCAAGTTGCAGTCTTCATGTCTGTCCAGACTCATATATAGCCATGACAGCTGACAATGTTAATATGGATGTTGCTGCAAAATGGCTGCAAATTCAAAAAAAAAAAAAAAAAAAAAGAATGTTTCACACACCTTCAACCTGGCAGCACAGAAGGTCGATACATTCAGCACAGTTTCAAGGTTGACACCCAATGTAAGTGTCACTAATGCAGTATCTGACCAAATGTCTCCCCTTCTGTTCCTGGGTTATGAGGTTTGATAATAATGGCCAGAAAAGTGTTTTTGCAGAACATTGAGATGTCACAGTGAAGTTAATCTGACCTTTTGGATAAAACATCTCATCACTTCATCAGAAATTCCCTTAATATTCCCCTAATTCCCTAAATCCCTTAATGTCCTTGAGATATCGTGTTGACAAGAATGGAACATATGTACATATGGACCACAGACTGTAAAAAATAATGGATGTAGCTACCATGACATCACCAATTGGTTTGTGGGCGGCCATTTTGAAGCCTCAGGTTCGGCAACTTAGCCATTGCCATCTTGGTCTTTTGGAGCCAGAAGTGACCATATTTGGAAGACAGCCACTTAAGCGGTCCCACTCTTATATATACGGAACTTTGGGCTATCATAAAATGTAAATAGGTACGTTTATTTCTGCTGTAAAGTCGGGCATTTTAACCAAATGGTAACCTCCAAGGCTAAAAAATGAAGCTAACGGAGAAGTGCTAAAACTGTAGCTCTTTGAATGGCCATGATAAACGGCAGGTTGCTTGGAGTAACAGGCTGTCGGCTGATAGCGTCCTTGCTTTCTCGGTCAGATCCATCCCTTGCTCCTTCAGAGCTCCAGCTTCCTGCCCAAATATAAAAAAAAAAAGATGGCGACGACAGAATTGCTGAACTATAGGCTTAAAATGGGAGTCCAGAAACCAATGGAGAACCAATGTCATAGTAGCTACATCCATTATTTTTACCATCTACTGTATGAATTTAACATGGTGGTCTGGTGGACTGACTCTGTTTTGGAGCCAGCATCGAGTGGTCATTCAATGAACTGTAGTTTTTGTCACTTTTGCACTGAATTCATTTTTCTGCCGAGGAGGTTGCCACTTGGTATGGACAGACAACCCAAAAACATGAGATGCCTCCAACTGTTCCCAGTGTGGAGGCATAAGAATAAAGAGCTGACCTACTGCATTGTCACAGATACCTGGAGGGCTGGGCTGATAGATCATATTGACATATACATAAATAATGTCTATCCGTTTTTAATAACACTGTTTTTCACTTTAACAGTCATTTGGCTGTGAGTTAAGAAATCACTAAAACCCTGGAGAACATTTTAAGCCACATCTGAAGCTCCTGAATCAAAGTCAGTCACATTGAGGCCTTTTACCTACACTAAAATTTTACAGGAGTGAAAACAAGGTCATGGACCAGTTGGTACCTGGTAAAAGGGCCGATGTCAGTGCTACACAGCAATAAGAAGATGATATACAGTCACGCCCTGCAGTTTTGCTGTTGTATGTCAATTAAAACTGTAACTAATCAACAAAAGTGGGTGATAGTGATATGGCGTGATGCTCAGTGAGATGACTGCAGATGCTTTGTTAGAGACGCCTCATTCAGAGGTTTTACAGACTGTAAAACACGTTCACAATATTGACACAGTTATGTAAAAGAAAAAAAAGGTAACGTTTAATAACTTTCAGCTGCCAGTTACAAACATGACAAACAATGAAACCATTGCACACATGTTATATACTGAGGAACATTTCTCATGAAATGTAAACATATGATTTTATTTTTTATATAAAACAGATTTAAAAAACTCTCAGCGTACGTCACAGATCAAACAAACAGCCTTTATGATGCAGTCATGCCCCAATTTCATTTCAACGGAGAAGCATGCACAACATTTCGTTTTACAGATTACAGCTCGTTATGTTTCAGTTTGCGTGTGCAGCCTCGTAATGTTGTCTGTCGGGTGACGTTTCCTCATGACGAGGAGCATTTATGTATACATCACTCATCTGCCCTTCATCTCTGGACACTGGATTTTGTAGCCCACCCTGTAGGCCTGCAGGTACACACGGGCCTGATTTATCCTGAAAACACACACAAAGCATTTGTTATTATTAAAATTAAACCGTGTTAAAAGTGGGCCTATTATGCTTTTCCTTATTTTCATTCATATGATGTTACAGTGTCGGATGCTCATATTAAACGTGGCGTAAGTTTCAAATAATGAGTTGAATGTTTGTCAAGTTATCCCTGTGAGCAAAAACCTCAGGCTTCAGATTATTCTGAATACTCTGTTTCCATTCAATTTTTAAAAAAGGCATTGCGGTGGGCCTCACATTTGTCATAGAGTCATATGCTGTGTTTGAAACCGCATACTACATACTACATACTGCCATACTACATACTCAATCAACAGACAGTATGCAGACCGTTTACACTGTAGCATACTACATGATAACCCACAATGCATTTCGCTCCTGCCTGAGCCGAAATCAGCCGGCCTTAAGCTGATTTCGCTTAAGCTCTAAACTCTGTAAATATATAACTTTAGCAACATTTGAAACATTTTTAGACGAGAAAGTAGCCGTTTAGATCCACAACGTGTTGAAAATCTGACCAAATACCAGCTGTTTACAATTTTGTTCGGATGATTTCGGAGATTTCGACGCTACTCAAGCTAGCCGTAGTGAGCAATGCACTTTCGGTTATTTTCACAAAATAAAACACCCGTTGCCCTTTCTTATACAGAAAACCATAACGATAAAATTTGTGCTTTTACGGGAGGCGAACCTACCCTTGATGTAGCTAGCTTGAAACCGCCGTTTTGACCGTTCTTGTCCCGTTAACGGAATTTGACCGTTCAAAATGCCTCACCAGAGAGTCTTGTCAGCTCTGAGACGAAGATCGGCCCACCGTCTTCGGTACATCATGCTCGCAATCGACTTGGGATTGTTCTCAGATGTAAGTTTCCTTTTTAATCAACTATAAATCTAATCATAATATACAACGCAATATAACATACCTCACAGCCTGAAAATTGGAGAGAAAAATGTTCATCATTGAACAACAAAGTCGTTGTGAATTTCCTAAATTTTCATAAGTTATAATATACAGTAGTAATAAATATAAATAAATAAATAAATAACTTCTTTTTTCTTTTGTCCTGTTCGCGGCAAGGAAGTGACAATCAATGACGTCACGTTACATTGCATCTTGGGTAATTTGAGTGTGAGTAGTAAGCTCATGATGTATACTCAACATTTCTGGTGAATCTAGTATGCATCCGGGAACTTCTCGCATACTCAAAATCGCATGCTGCGCGGTGTAAACACACTACATACTCAAAGAGTTAGTATGAGTAGTAGGTAAGTATGCGGTTTCGAACAGACCCATACTCTTACAGTCACTTCCTGGCTGCAATCAAGGCTATTCAAAGGAGGCTGGGACACACTGTTTGACTCCATGGGAGCTATTGGGTGTGACACATGCTCAGTGTAAGTTGGAGGGTTACAGCAGATGGCGCTAGAGATAAAGGGACGTTGCCAGATCAGGCAAGCTCTTTTTTGCCTCGTCTGTGCTCAGCCTGACAAAACTTCTGGGTATGTCAAATGGATGGCATTTAGAGTGCATTTGTTTATGGTATTTTATCATGGACTTTTTTCAGTAATTACAGAATTGTAATTCTCACCCATATCTTTAGATTTCATAGAAAATATTCTGACCCAAGACCAACTGCACCTCAGTGAAACAAATCAATCATCCCTCATGTTCTAGTGTGCCAGCTATTGAGCCTTTCAGCAGGAGAAGGCCAGACATAGTTGTACCCCGATAATATGAAGTGAAGTGACGCCATGACTTCTCTTTTTTTTTTACCTCCATGGCTGCAATGACAGTGCAGAGACACCAAGATACAGAAGACCCAGAAACGCTGACCAATCAGAACACGCTGGGCATTTTGGGAAAGGGGGCCTTAAAGAGACAGGTACTAATGGAGCTTCTCAGATAGGTGATCCAGCACAGTATAAGGACAGTATATGGAAAAATATAGTTTTTTGAACATTAAAGCGTGTAAACATGTTCTAGTAGAAACCCTAAATACAAGTATGAATATACATAATAGGTCCCCTTTAAGTAAATGTGACAAGTGACAAAACCATACAAATAACAAGAACTTCATGAAGTCCAGATCTAGAGGATGTAATAAAAAAATTTAAAAAATTAAAAAAAGGTTACCTGTATTTTGTGCAGAGCTGAATTCCCAGGGGTCCACAGCGGTCAACGTAACTCTCCTTAAATGCCTTTCTTACAGCTCGTGCCATACTGACCACTGTGGTGACCACGGGGCACGTCCTGAAATAGTGTCAGCGCCATAGATGCAACAAGATGTCAATGCATGAAACAACCAACACAACATACATGTACAGTTCATTTCAACACAGGTCACACTCTGCCTTCTTATGTACTCCTTCACTTACAGTAGTACACTTTTTCCTCCTTTAAATTATGTCTATGCATTTGTATCAATATATTGTTGCTAATTAAAGGGGCAAAAAGCGAAATCCTTTCACCGCTAGGTTTGCTGTTGTGCACTGCCTCTCCAACACCCCACCCTACTCGCCTCGTCTGTGCCGCCGAGCACCGCACCATCTCCACGGACTATCACATCCAGACGGTCCCGGTGTTTCTTCCACAGGCTCCGCTTCACTCAGCTGCCTGATATACCCGCTGCTTCTTCCCATATTAACCTGAATAACAAACCAGGGCTCGGTGCTCCAGTTAGATCCATATGGAGAGCCGGGGCTAACGTTAGCTGGGAAGCTAGTGGAGGCT